CAGAGTTGTCTGGGCACTGCAGTGTGGCGTGTTGACACTGTCTCGGGAGTTGACATGCTGTGGACATGGTGGAGGGGTGTTACTAAACACTGTTTATCTACCGCAGTTCACGCAATGGTCTGAGTGTTTTCAAGCAGTTTGCAGCCCCGTGTCAGCATGTCAGCATGCACCATTGGGGGCTCAGTGCCAAGTGTATGTGCAACAAGATACTGAAGGTCATGTTGACGCAGTCCAAGACGTGATATAATCTGAGGACAGTAGGTGCACCTTGAGCTGAGACATTGCTGATGTGGCAAGAAAAATTATTCCATCCATCCATCCATCCATCCATCCATCCATCAACAACGTTTGGAGATTTGAAAAACTCTTTTGAAAATGATCAAATATTTAAGTATTTTATCAATATATCCCAGAAAATATTTTGTTTGGTAGGTATTTTTTTTATCATGAGAAGTTATTAATCTGAAGCACCTACTTTGCAACAAAGATTTCTTGGGTAAACAACACGGGGCCATTTCAAAAATCTGTTCTCAGGCTCAACAGAAGGAAAACTTGTCATAGCTCAGAACTACAGACAAGCAGCGTATTTGCGTAAAATACCCCCCAAAATATTCAAAACCCAATTACTTCCAATTAACTTGCATACAGAAACGCGTGCATTAAAGAAAAAACTAAAATGTATAAAAACAGCTCGCGTAAATACCCAATGAAGCTCTTTCAGCATGCGTACAAAGGAGATAATTTCCGAAACACATTTACAAGCTTACCATATTTGATGTGAAAAAATATTGGTTACCCAATGAAAAATGTAATAACCCAATTAGAATAGAAACCCTAGAGTAAAAACTCATTTGCCCAAAAAGTTATCTGAAGCTCTGCTGCTCATGCTATCGGCCACTAGTTTACATGGCTCGGATTTGAATAATGGTGGCTGAAGTCGCTGGAATAATGGTGGCTGAATTAGTTTCCATTTCGACATAATTTAGTTGGATATATAAAGCATGTAAAACAAGTGTGGCCTAATTGAGTATTATTGAAGAGAGGAGGCATGAGATGACGTAAGGACATGTTTGTGCATGGATTACAGCAACACTATCTGTGGTGGTTGGCCTGAGCTGAACCTCTCATAAGGTTGTGTCAAGGTCACATGACAGGGCGAGCCTGCTAGCCCAGCCGGCTTGTCAAGGACACATTGTAGGCTAAAGTTTCCAACAGTTGCAAGACAAGTTGTCAAGCATTCATTATCTGTTGATAGGATGCAAGAGTTTATCTAGATTATAGTTTTTCTTTCACCTGAAAATTTGGTATCAGTTGGTAGTCTATAGTTACCAGGGCCCCGTTCCACAAATCTTACCGCTGCGTCTGTCGTAAGTCATATTAAAGTATGGGAGTTAAAGGGGCACTGATCTAACGCAATTCCCCGGACTGGTTGTTGCCTTTGTTATTGTTTTTCCCCCGTGAGTACCCGGATGACATGCAACGCAACTGAGCGTGACCAGAGACTGGGCTACTGTCTGCAAGGACAGCTAAATAAACTTGGAGGCAATATTTGTTTTACGCATTTTTGAACACTGATTAGTTTAACCGTGATCTATAAAGATTTCTATGTTAATTAATTTTTTAGCCTAAACAAACAGACAAAAAGAACGGCGGAGCTCATCGTATGTCGTCATTTGGAAATACCCCAGATGGTTATAGTTTAATAATTTTAAAAAGTATCCATTAAGTGAAAGCATTTTCGGATTTCGAATTGCGTCGATAATACGATTACTACTCACTTGTTGTCACCCACGTTTTCTGGTATAACCCTACACTTGTGTATTTGTCGTCATTCACTTGATGCTCTGTTAATGAATTTATTACAGGTACAATTAGTTGTAGCACCACTTAGATTACCTGACAAAGGTTCCCATTTGGCATTTATTGTGTCTGGGGTAATTATTCAATCTAAATGAAGGTTTGAAGTTAGGTGAAATGTGTGTTATGTAATATGCACGTGGCAGCCCAGCAAGAGGTGAATGATCAGTTCATTTACTTTTTTTGTAAATCAACGGATCGTACCTAGTCATCAAAGGATTAACAGAAAATACGTTGATTGATTAATCACTGTTATCTTGCACAGTGGATATGTCAAAAGTGAGTGTTTACATGTCTAGGTTTACTAAAACAAAGGGAATACACTCATATCATGGCGTGAAGTGTCGATGTAAAAACAACATACTTTGTTCAAAGGGTTAACTAATAATACGTTGATTGATTGCTCATTGTTATCTATCACTCAATGGATTTTTTGACGTTATGGAAATAGTTGTCACGTGGGCTTTCTCAGCCGACCCTTGAGACTTGACACCTATGTGAAACACCTGAAACAATCTAAGTGATCAGTTGAGAAAGGAACACGGGTTATAATATCCCGAAACGATATATATCTTTAAAAATATTTGATTGTTACAGAGACACGTGACATCGAATAAGTTTCTTTGTTGATCAATGTGACCACACGCCCTTATTACTACCCATAAAAGTGACTAATGCGCTTACGAATGGCGCAGCAGAGGTCGCGAACTAGTCTAGATTTCTGCTATACATCCGGGTACTCACTGGGAAAAAACAATAACAAAGGCAACAACCAGTCCCGGGAATTGCATTAGATCAGTGCCCCTTTAAGATCACCTTAGCGCTATGAACGTTAGTTAATGTTGTAATTCACATTGAGTATTGATATTTTCTTCGGGTATACAATTTATTTTTAATCCTTTGGGTCCTGTCTATTGAGAATTTTGAGAACAGCAGGAATATTGCTGGGTGCGGCGTTAAACAACAAACATTTGTACGCCAGCAAATATTAATTGGGTAATGGTGACAAAGTTTGCATATTTTACGCAACTACACAGCTTCTGTTGAACCAGATTGTCTGTTGAAGGAGCACGTAGCAGTCTAGACAATAGCAAAGTATTTGTCTGATGAGGGGAGATAAGATCAGACGACAAGCTGCATCAGCTGATTTCCTCAATGACACTTGGCCTATAAATAGACTCAGTGGTAGAAACTGAAATTGCATAGTGGTAGAAATTTCCCAGAGGGGATTCCTGGTAATGTGGGTGTTACTGGTGACCGATATATACTGAACAAAAATAGTTAGAGATCATGCATATATTTGGAGATGTATTTATGAAACTGTGTGCTCAGTCCCTACTACAACACTATATCCCCCAAATAGTTATGAACCAACTGTTCTTGTTCAGTATAGAACTGGTTGGAAGGGTCGATGGCTTGGTACACAGACAGTATAGAACTGGTTGGAAGGGTCGATGGCTTGGTACACAGACAGTATAGAACTGGTTGGAAGGGTCGATGGCTTGTTACACAGACAGTATAGAACTGGTTGGAAGGGTCGATGGCTTGGTACACAGACAGTATAGAACTGGTTGGAAGGGTCGATGGCTTGGTACACAGACAGTATAGAACTGGTTGGAAGGGTCGATGGCTTGGTACACAGACAGTGTGGAACGCAGCTCATAATATCAACCACTGGTTTGCCCGGCCCAGAATTATTTACAGGCTGATATGATGTAGCTGAAATATTTCTGATGGCAGCATCAAGCAAAAAATAAATTGGCAAAACATTAACCTCAAACTGAACTGTGGACGAGACTATCTCATGATGCTGTAATGCTAGCAATACCTTGTGCACATACAATGTTGCTAGCATTGAAGAACTTTCTCGAGCCAGATGTGGATGAGAGGGAGCCCAACGACAGGAAATGCATACATTGGCACCCTTGTATTATTAAGATATAAGTCAACAGTATCACGGACATAGTTGCCTGATTCACAACCTGCAGTTAAAAGTTACATATTTGAACCCCAACAACACCTTTTTTAATAATTCTGGATCTCCTTCCACAAGTTGTAGGAATAACTATTGCTACACTGATACCATCTGTCCAAAGTGAAGCATGTTTTCAATTCAAGATGCAAATATTCAGTGGCCAGACAAGTTAGCACAGTCAGGAATCTCTCACCAAAACATTTGGATGCCATAAAATTATTATTAATATATGCTATATCTGAATTAATAATAGTCCCTTGGACTTTCTGTGCATAAGGAACTCCACATGGGTTGTCATGGTTGTTGGATTTGGTTTTAGCTCACCTGACTTAAATTTACATGAGCTTATGTCATGGCTTGTCAAGCATTGTAAATAAAAAAGCTGAACTTTAGAATGTATGTTTCTCTTTAATATGGCATCATATTTTGTTAAAATCATTGGTATTTTACTGGGGTTTTTTGTGCAACAATTATGTCATTAGAAGGTATTAGGCTTTTGTGTGAAGTAAATGTAAATGTTGTGCATGCAATGGAAACATTGTGGAAATGTAGTTACTTGTTCTGAAAAACGGGGGATATAGTGATCAGCTTGTCGGTCCATCTGTCTGTCTTCCGTCCATTTCTGGAGCAGAACTCCAAAACCTTTAAATATTTCTTGATGAAATTTGATATACAGATCAGTGTAGTGGTGAACTGGTGAACTGGTGCCTTTGGATGATTTGGGATATTGAAAAATACTTCTTATATTTTTATTTTCTTCATTTAACTGAAGGTATCCAATGGCAATGAACCAAAATCATGTCATACCATGTCATGTCTTGATGACTCTTGTTTATATTTGTTAATACTTTTGGCCTCAGTATTTTTGCGGAAAATATTTCAATTTGCTGAAAGCCGCTTTTGTTGTTTCTGTCTTTGTTAACATTGTTGACTTCCGATCCAGGTGAGCTACAGTGCATTTGCACTAGTTTGGGTATGTAACCTTGCTGCTAATCATGTTAATGAGGTACTGGACTGGCAGAATTGATCCCGAGTCTCTAGGCTTGTCTCACATGGGCATGCTTCCTGTTAAAGGTCTGGGACAGAATATAATGACATTTGTGTGTCATAGTTTGTTGTTTGTGTTGCTTGAAATAATATTTTGTATCTGTTTTCTTTTCTTTTACAGGACTTTTTGTCCGAGAGAGTTGGTACAGTATTCAAAGGCCTCAACACCATCCTCTTGCTGGTATACCCAGCGACTGTTGTGTATATCTTGCATACAAGCCCTGGTGCGTAGACAGTTAGAATGTCTTACAGTTTACACGATCAAATTGGTTTTCTAACATTCATCGTCTATTTGATGAAACTTCTTAAAATGCTTGTTGTGCTTGAAACGTTGGTAATAGTGATTAAATTATCGATCAAGGGAAAGTTCAGTTTTGCCAGCAAGAAGGAAAACAGCTATGCTTTGTCGTTAGAGGTGACAAAATAGACTTGGCTCAGCTCAGTGACTTGGTTGACAGCGCATCATTGTACCCCAGTAGAGTGGATCGATGCTCATGATGTCAATCACTGGATAGACGGGTCCAGGCTTGACTATTTACAGATCACCGTCATATTGCTGAATGCAGTGTTAAACAATAAAGAAGACAAAATGAAGTAGAATAGCTCCCTAGTACCTGTAATAAGTGTTGACTAAAATGGAATCTGCTGACGGCAACAGCACCTGCTGGCTCACTCACTCACTCACTCACTCACCCTTGAACAAAGAAATAAGTCTTGAATTTCTGTTGGTGTTTCAGTCTTCTCAGTAAACACATTGGGATGTGTGACAATAGTGTTTCTGAAGTTGATCTCCTACCACTGCGTCAACCGCTGGTGTCGGGAGTCGCTGAAGACACAGCCGCGGAAAATGGGACGTAGCAAGACCCTCACGACCGAGGATGAAGGTTGGTGCAGATACTTCTGGTGCAGGAGTATAGAGTGAATGAAATTTAGAAACCTTACTATGCTACTGTCTTGTTCAATCTTGCAAGACATGATATTTCCTTCTGAATGAAAACAGTGCCTGGAATGATATTCTAAGGTGTTCCATAGTGTTCTATATATATGTGTAAGACTGTATAAGAAAATTAAATGTTTCTTGTCCTGAGGAGGGAGGTTAGACTAATTTGTGTTTTTTATTGAAAACGTAAGGGATGAAGGAGGAGAACTGTATTCTTTTCCTACCATGAATACCAACAAACAAAAGGACTAACGGGATCGGGTGGTCAGGCTCGCTGACTTGGTTGATGCATATCATCGATCCCAATTGCGTGGATCGATGCTCATGATATCAATCACTGGATTAGATTGTCTGGTCCAGATTCGATTATTTACAGACCACCTTCATATAGCTGGAATATTGCTGAGTGTGGCGTTAAACAACAAACCAACCAACCAACCAAAAAACAAACAAACACAGCTAGGGAGACATTGAAGGTGCCTCTTCACTACAGCTACATTTGTTGTTGCTTGTGTTCTTTTTATAGATAACAGAATCTGCTTCATTTGACGCGGGAAATATGAAAATGCTTTTTCTTAGTGGCAATAGAGATGACTGACACTCATTTCCATTTTTAGCCCAGAACCCAGTCCCATGTTGCTAACTTTCACTGAGCAATGAAAATATAGTAATTACAGTAAACTACATTTATGACGAACACACTTATAACAAACTGAAGGATATAACGAACTGTTTTTTTTGGTCCCGGCCATTTGCCATCAATTTTATCATATAAAGTTGATGGATATAACAAACACACTCATAACGGAATAACGTATGTACAGCGAACTCACCTTGTGGTCCAGTGTGTACTCTGTCAACGATAAGGTTTAAGTGTATAACTAACTGTTAATCCCCGAGCTGAACTCCTCGTGTGTCACCAATCTACCTATCAAAACATCGCCAAAGTACTGACACCTTGTCCTCAAATTACACCCTCAATAAACAATAGTAACACAGTGATTGAAGTGGATATATTCTGTACATGTACACTGCAATTTTTGTTATTTATCGAGTAACATGATGTCACATGTCTCGATAAAAGATGTCTGACGGTTGAAATGCATATACAACAGATGTAACAAACTAAATTTAGTGGTCCCTTTGAGTTCGTTATAACCATAGTTTACTGTACTTATAACTGTTGAGTTAGTGTTGTCGACTACTAGGCAGTGTTGTCGACTTCTAGGCAGTGTTGTCGACTTCTAGGCAGTGTTGTTGACTTCTAGGCAGTGTTGTCAACTACTAGGCAGCGTTGCCGACTTCTAGGCAGCGTTGCCGACTTCTAGGCAGCGTTGTCAACTTATAGGCAGCGTTGTCAACTACTAGGCAGTGTTGTCGACTTCTAGGCAGCGTTGCCGACTTCTAGGCAGTGTTGTCGACTACTAGGCAGTGTTGTCGACTTCTAGGCAGCGTTGCCGACTTCTAGGCAGCGTTGTCAACTTATAGGCAGCGTTGTCAACTACTAGGCAGTGTTGTCAACTACTAGGCAGCGTTGTCAAGTACTAGGCAGCACTGTCAACTACTAGGCAGTGTTGTCAACTACTAGGCAGTGTTGTCAACTACTAGGCAGCTTTGTCGACTTCTAGGCAGTGTTGTCGACTACTAGGCAGTGTTGTTGACTCCTAGGCAGCGTTGTCAACTTATAGGCAGCGTTGTCAACTACTAGGCAGTGTTGTCAACTACTAGGCAGCGTTGTCAAGTACTAGGCAGCACTGTCAACTACTAGGCAGTGTTGTCAACTACTAGGCAGTGTTGTCGACTTCTAGGCAGCGTTGTCGACTATTAGGCAGCGTTGTCGACTGCCAGGCAGTGTTGTCAACTACTAGACAGCATTGTCGACTGCCAGGCAGTGTAGTCAACTACTAGGCAGTATTGTCAACTACTAGGCAGCGTTGTCGACTTCTAGGCAGCGTTGTTGACTACTAGGCGGCGTTGTTGACTTCTAGGCAGCTTTGTCAACTTATAGTCAGCGTTGTCAACTACTAGGCAGTGTTGTCAACTACTAGGCAGCGTTGTCAACTACTAGGCAGCACTGTCAACTACTAGGCAGCACTGTCAACTACTAGGCAGCGTTGTCAACTACTAGGCAGCACTGTCAACTACTAGGCAGCACTGTCAACTACTAGGCAGCACTGTCAACTACTAGGCAGTGTTGTCAACTACTAGGCAGCATTGTCAACTACTAGGCAGTGTTGTCAACTACTAGGCAGCACTGTCAACTACTAGGCAGCACTGTCAACTACTAGGCAGCACTGTCAACTACTAGGCAGCGTTGTCAACTACTAGGCAGCACTGTCAACTACTAGGCAGCGTTGTCAACTACTAGGCAGCATTGTCAACTACTAGGCAGGGTTGTCAACTACTAGGCAGCGTTGTCAACTACTAGGCAGCACTGTCAACTACTAGGCAGCATTGTCAACTACTAGGCAGCATTGTCAACTACTAGGCAGCATTGTCAACTACTAGGCAGTGTTGTCAACTACTAGGCAGTGTTGTCAACTACTAGGCAGTGTTGTCAACTACTAGGCAGCACTGTCAACTACTAGGCAGCACTGTCAACTACTAGGCAGCACTGTCAACTACTAGGCAGCGTTGTCAACTACTAGGCAGCACTGTCAACTACTAGGCAGCACTGTCAACTACTAGGCAGCACTGTCAACTACTAGGCAGCATTGTCAACTACTAGGCAGCGTTGTCAACTACTAGGCAGCATTGTCAACTACTAGGCAGTGTTGTCTACTAGGTGTTTTGATAATTTTTTAAAGTTATTTTCTTCACATTTCAGCTGCCAAGCAGGTCAAGATGGCAGCAGCCAATGAGAAAATTATCGGTAAACAAGTGTACTACCCTGACAACCTCAATCTGAAGGGTAGGTGATGATCATATGTTATTGTCAGTGTTTCTGTATGCCAGTAATAACGTAGAACTTGGACAGGGAATGTTAGATGATGTCAGTCCCTGGAAACATAATTAATAATTGTTGAAATAAGTATGATTACAGCCTAACTAGGCATGCCCATAACATAATGCCAGGTAAAATAAGCACAAATGTTGTGATCCTGTTTGTCTAGGTACCTGGGGACAAAAAACTGATGTGAGTCAGGTGGGTGGGAATGACAATGTAACAAGTATTTTAGTCCTTGTGACAATAGTTTGCTTGTCTCAACTTTCAGATATGTACTACTTCATGTGTGCTCCGACGCTGTGCTATGAGCTCAACTTCCCGCGCTCAGCTCGCATCCGCAAGAGGTTCCTCATGAAGCGAATTATCGAAATAGTAGGTTGAATGTTTTTACTTCCTTACTGCCCCGGGCAACAGCCATTGTTTCCCAGATGTCATTGTTTCCCAGATGTCAGTGTTTCCCAGATGTCAGTGTTTCCCAGATGTCAGTGTTTCCCAGATGTCAGTGTTTCCCAGATGTCAGTGTTTCCCAGATGTCAGTGTTTCCCAGATGTCAGTGTTTCCCAGATGTCATTGTTTCCCAGATGTCATTGTTTCCCAGATGTCATTGTTTCCCAGATGTCAGTGTTTCCCAGATGTCAGTGTTTCTTAACAGATCTGTGTAGACAGGAGTATTGCTACTGTTGGATATGTATGGTTTTCTTGTTTTGTTGTAAATGTAACAGAATTTTGGCAGATTTCTGAAAGACTATGTTCTCAATCATGACCATATTTGGCATATGAAAAAGGTGCACAAATAAAAAACAAATTCCTTAACTATGTTAGCAAATGCAAATATTCTCATACTACTAGAGTCTTCAGCTCAGTATGTTAAACATAGCTGCCAGAACCAGATGAAATTGTTCACGTGATGGAGTAAGCATGAAACATTGTCCTCCTCATAATCAAGAAGTTGACATCCACAAATTCTCTTCCCTATGAAATCTAACAGCCTTTCAAATTCGATTTTCCTGACTTTCATTAAACAGTGTTACTTTGAGAGAGATAATATTCGTTGTTCCAACTGGCCAATTTTGTGATCCTTGTGTTGTTTGTTTCAGTTGTTTCTATGGCAACTGATGCTGGGCCTTGTACAGCAGGTGAGATACGATACCATGGAAACTAGTTCATTGATGGCACACCTTGTTTCATACCTAGGCACATCACTGTACTTTAATGTTGGCAAGACTGTTGCTTCAGGACTGATGACTTTATGAATTGTATATCATTTTGAGTTATATAGGTGTTCTACAAAAGTAGGAGAGTGTAAAAAGGGCGCCTTGACCAGACCAATGAGTTTTCTTGTTTCATAATGCTGAAGACTGAAACATACTTTGTCAGAGTATCTTCGAAGAAATGAAAATACAAGAAGAAAAAAAAAGCACATATTTACACCATGTTCATTTAAGCTCATCACTTTTTCGTCTTTTTAATCTCCTTCTTCACTTTTCCATAATGAGTCACACGGTTTGGTTTGGTTTCCGTTTCAGTGGGTGATCCCGACACTGAACAACGCCATGCAGCCTCTGGACCAGATGAATCTCTTCAAGGTGCTGGAGCGCCTCCTCAAACTGGCTGTATGTAGGATACGTTCCTTGTGTAGTGTTATGTTGCTGATACAGTTGCTTGGCTTGACTTAGCTATATGGAACATGCACCAGTTGAACCTATTATTGAAAAATGCAACCTCGCATTGATGTCAACATGCCCGATGTGCATGTAAAAAAATTCACATTTGGGTCTGACAAACTTTTACTTGTCCACACAGCATCAGTCTTTGAACACACACAATTCCTCTAAGGTTTATTAACCATACTACATCAAAATCAGAGTGTTATTTTTTCATGCTGTGGGTACTTCAAGATTATGTGCGCATGTTCCTATTACGTTTTATAGTGATTTGTGATTAATTGTGTGACACTGGCAGCAGACCAGCCTATGTTTGTGTAAATTCATGGGACCTTGCTACCATGGTTACCGTGTAAATAAGATACATGGAAATCAGGTGATAACGGGAATATTATATCATTTTCTGTGTTGAATGATAAGTTAAAAAGTAAAAATGAAAGTTTCAATGGAACATTCTGTTAAAAGCAATGATATCCATGCCCCACGACTGTGCTTGTTGTAAGAGTTCCCTAACGGGATGCTGTTTAACGCTGCACTCAGCAATATTCCAGCTATACGGCGGTCTGTAAATAATCGAAGATCGTAAGATGCGACTAACAGAATTGGGTGGTCAGGCTCTTGGAATTGTCAAGTATACCTTTAGTTAGAATCACCTGTATTCCCCTTGACGTGTGAAGATGTTTGATAATTACTTCAGGTGCCGAACCACTTCATCTGGCTCATCTTCTTCTACTGGTTTTTCCACTCATTCCTCAATGCACTGGCAGAGGTTCTCCGCTTCGGTGACCGTGTCTTCTACCACGACTGGTGGTGAGTACTGTCTGCCTAGGGCTTCATTGAGTGAATGAATGAGTTGGCTGCAGCAGGGTGTGGTGTGGTTATATTTGTCGGTCACTGTCCTCCCATGTCTGAGGTTACTACATGCATGCTGCTGAAACTCTCTTGTTTTACGATAAATAACTTTGTTATTGACTATGTCAAGCTGTTTTTTTGTACTGTCACTGTAAGTAAAATATGTCTGGGACCAAAGTATATGTCATGTATAGGTTAAGCTGTGATGTTTTGGTTTTGAATGAAGGTTTAATGGCATCAGTTGTCTATCTGATCAAATAACTATCATGAAGTTAAGACGCTAGAGCAGATCTGTCTCCAACAGGCCGACTACTGTTATTGTTGTCACAGTTACCATGGCTACTCACCTTGGTTAACTCCCACTATGACTTTGTTCCAGGAATGCAGAGACTGTGTCTGACTTCTGGAAGAACTGGAACATCCCTGTCCACAGATGGGCCAGCAGGTCAGTCTCCTCTACACTGGTCATGTCCTCTCACATCATTCTCTCGTGTTCTCTCACATTCTCTCTTTCCTGTCATGTTCTCACATTCTCTCACTCCTGTCTTCTCTCATTCTCTTTCCTGCCATATTCTCACATTCTCTTTCTTGCCATGTTCTCACATTCTCTTTTCCTGTCATGTTCTCACATTTTCTCACTCCTGTCTTCTCTCACTCCTGTCTTCTCTCACATTCTCTCTCTCCTGTCATGTTCTCACTTTCTCTCACATTATTCTCTCTCTCCTGTCATGTTCTCACATTCTCTCACTCCTGTCTTCTCTCACTCCTGTCTTCTCTCACATTCACTCTCTCCTGTCATGTTCTCTCACGACGTTAAACCCAATTTCACCTCACCTCACCTCTCACGTCCTTGCCACAAATAGCTTCAAGATTGCTCATGTGATGAGTTAAGCAAGAATTATTCACATCCTCTGACATCCTCTTGTCCCTCTCATGTCCTCTTGCTGAAATGTTTCCTGGCAGTTGTCCTGTGCGCAGGTGAATGGTCCAGTGATACATGCATGATTAGTTGATGTTTGATGGACTGTCCTGTCTGTGGATCCCACTGCACATCATGTTGTATCCTGCTATGGTGTTGTTGTGTTGCAGACATCTGTACAAGCCCATGTTAAGGCAAGGCTTCAACAAACTCACAGGTTCCGTGGCTGTCTTCTTCGTGTCTGCATTTTTCCATGAGGTAAGTAACTTCCCCTGGGCCCTCTTGCACAAAGCAGTCTTAACGCTACGATTATTGTATGATCGGGATCTCATGCCTCGGATACAATCACCATCCACTTGCACAAAGCAATGGTAGGCTAAGATCATTGTAATCTACAATCGAAACTTACTATGGGTTTGGACCAATCTTAAGTAGCTAAGATCATTGTGGTCCCTAAATCAACTTGACAAAATGGCGTGAGAGACAGGTCTGTTTCACAAAAATAGTCTGCTTTGCTTTCACGCATTGCCATTTCATTGTGTTTGGTCAAATTCAAATTGACACTTACACACAGCATATTTCACGTCTGAAATATTGTTATTTGGAGTAGTGAACCACATAACTATTGAGTGGAAAGCTAAAAGTACCATACCAACCCGACTTGTTGAGAGTTTGAAACAACAGACCTATTCAATATTCAGTGGAAGATAACTTTTCAATATTCAAGGGATGGATGAAAACGTAGGGTGTCTGCTAGCTATAGTGATGGATGTGACGTTTTGGATAACTTAGGGCAGCTAATCTTAGTTCATTATTTACATGCCAGCAGTGTTAGTACTTGGCACTATTCCCTGCCAAACTGCCCAATAGTTGAGGTATTTTTAGGGTTTTGCTATATGTTGTCATTATAAGGACTAGTGGACTAAAATTGTTTCTAACGCTGTGCCAGGATCATATTTCTTGAATATTGTCGAGTGCAGCGTTAAACGCAAAGAAATTTTCATGATGTAACTCATTGATCATGTTACATCATCAGAACAGAAGGTTAACATGGAAGTGGGAAGTGGTAGCATATTAAGTAGTAGTGGGCCGAAACACACATGCATCGGTGGATCACGATTTCTTAGTTCAAGTATCGAGCACAGTCTCACACAAATTAAAAGGATCACTTCTTTCCTTAAATTTTTGCTCTTATAAGTGTTACACCAAACACTAATTAGTAGTGAAAACATAAGCATTTTCATCCATTGCGCCATACTTGACACCTTCCTGTCTCAGAATACGATGGCTTATGCACCACAGATAAGAACACATGCAAGTATCGTGATACGTATCGGATCGTGAGCAATGTATCGTGATTCGTTGGTGTATCGACCGAGGCCTAGTGTTAAGATGTGCAGACACCTGTCACTATGCCCTGTTCCATGAAGCAAAGGACCCCTAGGAAAAACAACTCTCAGCTGCGACATCATACCCCATTGGTGTTCACACTATCAACCACCGGTTTGCCTGATCCAGGGATGTAGCTGTTATATTGATGAGGCATGAGTATACACTCACTCACTCACTCACCTGTTATCAGCAGAAGAAAGACAATGTTGAAACAATAAGTATGCTTTATCAATATTACTTTCCTTTCCTTTCCAGTATCTGCTGAGCATACCACTGAGGATGTTCAAGGTGTGGGCCTTCACTGCCATGTTGGGGCAGGTTAGTGGATATCTTACTTACATACCGTATATCGCTGTGTATAAGGCGACCCCCCTGTACACGCTTTCAAAATCAACCCAAAATCCATCACAAGTGCGCACACAAACCTTATATATGCCATAAAAATATGTTTATCTTGCATTGTTTTTTCTACGATAATTGGTCGCATGTGTAACTCCAGCACATGTTGCCATTTTGTGTTTACACGGTACGACACCAAATTGGTGCCCGTAAAATAAAATTCATTTATGAAGTAATAACATATAAGAGACAATGGTGAGTAATTCAAACGCCAATTTACTATGTTGTAACTAACTAGGCTTATATTTGCTTCACATTCAGCGTGTTTATTCCACAATCACTTATTCACACTGTCTCCAACAGTTAATACAACTATAAAAACAGCGGGAATTGATTTCAGCTTCACCGGTTATCACATGTTAGGTCACATATGCAAATGCTTACCAGTACTTCCGGCTCTCTACTCACGGATGTTGATTGTTTTACCGTGTCAGCTGGTTTGACAATTTGCATCGAGGCGAGGGTCATTTCAACTTTATTTGCAGAAATTATTAAACTTTATTCAAGGAAAAGGGATACAAATCATGTTTATGTATGGAAATAGTTATTGGAACAGTTATTTAGGACGAAATGCGAAGTTTTATTGTCAAATGCTGGGCTGGCTATCTGACGCCGGTTGACATCGCCAGTGGAAAAAAATGTGAGATCTTCGACTCCGTGTATAAGACGACCCCCCTTCTTAACCCCCTCATTTTAGGTACGAAAAACTCGCCTTATACACAGCGATATACGGTAGTACTTCCCCGTGGGGATTCCGGGTTAGAATAGATGCCCAGCAACCTATGCTTGTTTTATGGGACAACTTGGCTGGTTGCATGTTATTGTACCCTTGTATCGATCACTTGTTTGTCTCTTGATTATTTTAGGCCACAGTTATATTCCTGAAACACTGATGAGTGCAGCGTTCAACAACAAACAAACGTAGTACATACATATAGATATCACACCTGATGAACTTCCTCAAATGTTCCTCGGACACAAAAACAGTCCTATTACACAAAATCTGAGTGGTAGAGGTTCCGCAGTCGTCTAAGATGCTGCAGTTCGCAATGCAGAGTTGCGTATCTTAGGTATCAGAAGATTATGGTTTCAAGTCCCAGATAGATTTTGGGTTTGAAGCACCATAGCTGTTCTCATGTCTTGAACCAACGTGATTCACATATGCCTCTCTGTGGACTCTCCCCTCTTTATAGTGACGCGCAGTGGCATGAATAATTCTGTTCCAGGAAGGATCAACCCAACTCAGTCACAAATCATGAATTATTCAGATAATGATAATTATCCAGATGATTAATTATCAAATCATGATGGAACATGTCCACTTTGTGTAGGAGATATAACTGTTTGTTCCACACGCAGATAGGGGCACAGACGATCCAGTCATCTATGGTGATGCAATATGCTGTGATGCAGAGTTGCCTCCCTTCGGCATGACAGGAACCTGTAATCATGGGTTCAAATCCCTGTTCACCCTGATTATGTTTAACTTTGTCAGCACCATACCCGTGAATTTAGGCTTCACCAATGTGATAAAAGTCAAAGACATGCATCACGAAGTTTTCTCCCTCATCAAGCTAGCACCTTGTGATATAACTGAAATATTGTGTAAAGCGCTGTTAAACCAACTCACTTCTCTCTCAGGTACCCCTGGCTCTGATGACTGGCAAGTACTTGGACAGCAAGACGGGGAATATTGTTGTGTGGTTGTCACTCATCCTTGGTCAACCTGTCGCCATCCTCGCCTACGTCCATGACTACTACATCATCAATGTCGGCACTCTGACAAACCAGACAATAACTATTGGCTGACAAACCCTACATGACAATTTCAGATTTGTAACATGATGTAAATTTTGTCATGACTGAGTTGAGAGCCCCATACAGCCAAACGAATCACAGATCACAGAGATGTATGTGAACATTACTGCTGACTTGAAAATGTCTCATGACCTGGATGTCAGTATTATGTTTTGTGTATGTTTGATTTGATTGGTCGACAGGGTTACTGTGTGATAAATTCCTATATTTCACAGAGTGAGGTTGATCAGATATTCACATATTCAATCTTTTTTTAAAATTTGGTAAAATGGCCACAGAAATCAAAATTAAGTTGTTTTGGGTATGTACAACATTTCTATCATATGTGTTCGAATCTCATTCAATGAGTTTGGAGATAAACTTGAGCACATCTTTTCTGATTTTGAGTTAAAATTAATTATGCGTTTTCAAAGTGTTTCAGTATATTTAAAAAAAGAAGTCTTAATGACAAAATATATTAATATGAATGGACAGTAATGTGATAACTTCAACGATTTGACAATTAATGTAGCGATGAAAGCTCTTGAAGCTCATGAATTAAAAACAATGATACATTTGTAAAAGTGACTTGACATCAACATGTAGTCAGTCACATGGTGGACAGAACATGTGCTGGTGGGGTGAAAGGGATTCTCAGTAAATTTGCAGGAGCACTGTGAATCAAACAGTTGGAAACGAGGGGAAGAAAGTGCCTCTTTTTGGGGCAGTGTACCATAGAAAAGAATGAAGAGTACAGTTCAGTGTAAGGATTAGGTAGAGAGATTTGTGAATTGGCACGGATGCAGTTTTAGGAAGTTAATGGAATTTGCATGGATGCAGTTTTAGGGAGATATGTGACTTTTCACGGATGCAGTTTTTGAGAGTTAGAATTTGCACGGATGCAGTTTTTGAGAGTTTTGAGTTTGAGATATTATGGGCATTTGTGAAGTTTCTTAGTAATTGCTTTGTTGTACATTGCCAAGATATACAAAATTGCAGTGTGTTTTATATTCCTGTATGAATGAAAACAATACCAATGACTGTAATTGTATTTTGTGATGAATAATTCCGTGCAATAACTATGACCGACTAGTAGACAGTAGACTCTGGATTTGAATGACGTTTGAAGATAGGAGCCTCGTTCTCAAGCAATACGAGGGTATTTTAAATGTCTCGATGTCCATGTCATTTAAAGACCATTATTATTATTATTATTATTGATGTAAAAGTATGACATCAAATGGGCACAGGTCATATTGTGACATTAAATTCCCTTCGTAAAATCTGTAATGTAACAAACGTTTTTACGTCTGAATATTGACTGTCATGGATGTGTCCAAATAGAATCAAATACATGAGAAATCTGTGAAAGTCACACAGAAATCAGGTAGTAATTATGTAGAATATGTTGAGGATTGTGTTTAGTATTCAGTCTGTCATGGTAGACTTGGAAGAGGTAAAAGCATTCGCTTGTCATGAAATGCTTCCCCATGTATATAATACAGATGTGATATGTGAAGCTTATTCTTGATGACCCTTACTGCAAGAATATAACTTATCACCCACTTCTATCTTTTGTGTTGACAACTGCACAACATACTTTCTTTGTAGCCTTAATTATTATATTTGAGAAGTATTTAGAAAATTTTATTGTTGAACCTGAACATTTATTGTGCAGGAACAATCACCTTCTGTATAAGTGCAACAAAAATAATTTTCAATATTTGTGGATCACAAAGTACTGTATGTCAATAACAACGTATGTCATCAAAGGTTGATGTAAGATTTGACTGGGTATACATTTGTGTCCACCCTTTATTTCTCAATAGTCTGAAGATTTGTTAAAAAACATGACAGCAAAGTTGAGGCAAGAGTTATGTTAACAGCAAGACAAATTTTCATAGAATTAAGATTAATACTAGATTTTTTAACAGACGAAAGTTTCATTTTGAAACAAAAATGTTTACATTGTATGTTTGTGACCTCACGTTAAAAGAAAAAAGTTTGATAAATAGGGAAAATATATCAAGATCTTCATGCATAAGCCATCGATCCCATTGTTGTTGTGGTGGTGTGCAGAAGTACAGTTGATGCGTGGATATTTTGATCGGTCACCTTCCCCGAGATATGACGATGTATATATCATCTGAGAAAGACATGATCTCATGGTAGCAAACAGTGTATGTCCAGATTCTTGTTGCCAGTCATAGCATATTGCATTTACGAAGCAGTACAAATGTCATATACCTTATATGTACACACGCATGGTTGAAATAACCTTAAACTTTGATTTGTTTTATATCACTTGATCATTTTCCCATGTAACAGATTTATAGTCATCTTTTCTATACAATCATGTCGTTTATAGTTGGTATTTCTAAATGTCATACAACGGGCCAATATATATATAGTGTTCCCTCATTATTGCGCCCTTCACTATAGCGCGTGGTAATGCATGGTTCCCATATTTACTTACATTTTATACAAAAATATATAAAAATATATGAAATCTTGACAACTAAATTGAAATCATTTTGTCAAGACATATGATTTGTTCTATCACAGGGTCTGTTGTATGCTCAGTACTGAAGAAAGCGACCAACTGTTAAGGGCTCCGTGAGAGTTTCCTTAAAAAATGTGATCAAAGACATTCCAGGCAGTTGTTAAAATATATATACACTGTATTTCATGTTAGCAAAACTGGATCTTATACAATGGTGCCTTGTCCTGCTTTCTCACATGTCACAATGGCCACGACATATACCACCAGTTGAGCAACTAGGAAAGGATGTGTGATGATTACGGGTCAGGGTCAACATAGGAGATGGTGAACTTAAGAAGTCAGGAAATGACAGTCATTATTTTTGTTGTTCATGTGGCACATTTGCAGTGACTTTGCAGCAAGATTTGAGTGATCTATGATTTGCTTTAGAACAGTGTTATGTAAAGAATTGTTGCATGGTTGTCACAGTTTTGTGGGAGATGTGTTGCATGTAGGTAGTCCTGAGCATGTCATAGCATGTTTGATGCACCTGTGACCTGGCTGACAGGAGGTCACCTGTGACATTGCACAACATGCAGTGCTCGCATGTGGAGGACGTGGTCCATGATGATTTGCAATGGTTTTTTTTTTAAGGTATGGCCAGTTCGTATCTAAAAATAACTTTTTGGTTTCTACATGTATTTTTATCTTTCCATGATACACAAAACTATCTAAGTGGAGTAGTATATTTTTCAAGAGGCAAGCCAGTCTGGGATTAAATAGTCCTATGGAGATGGGGTGGCCTAGGAGTAAAAGCATTCGCTCGCTACGCTGAAGACCCAGGTTCAATGCCCCACATGGGTATGAAGTCAGTTTCTGGTGTTCCCTGCTGTGGAACATAAAAGCGGCGTACTTACTCCAATGTAATAGATCTACTGAGCAGGTTGTCACTTATTAAATCACTATGAAACAAAGTGCCAGTGCTCAGAAGGCTGCAAAAAATGATGCAAATCATCCCAGACTGGTTATGGAAAACATGCCAGCTTTTCAAGAGCTGCAAAAGTGATATATGCCATGTATTATCACAAGAAGGCATATTTACTTAATGTTATGATTTGCTCAAACATCAGAAATCAGCAGAGGTTTACTTGGTGAAGTACTTTCAAACAACCAAAAGTTGCAGTCTCAGTGCTCAAACATTTGACATTGCCAAAGACCTTTACAGAGAAATGCCGAAAGTCTTTCACATTTTCTGCAAAAAGAAACACTATTTGCATCCGTGTATTTTGGGATGCTTCGAGGATGGCTGTGTACATGACAGTACAAGCAATAAGTATGTGCTGGAAATGAGGGGCATTTGTTGATCAAACTCCACTTAATGTGTTTCAAATGTTGAGGGAGCCCACAACGCATAGCTAGCTTTCCTGTCTAGTTTTCATGCCCCAAAGTAATTGAAATATGTTCTTGTACAGTATCACTATAAAAGTATAATTTTGTAATATGATTAATGCAAATAAAGAATATAAAATTTAGCACTTAGTTGTTTACTGCAAAAACCGAACATTTTTATTCTAGTAATCATGCACCCCTGTGTCTCAGATCTATAGTTAACTCTGGAGGGTACTGAATGAAGCTAGGATATGAAATCTCAGGGATGCAATTGTGCACAGGAAATTGCAAGTCTCAAGTATTAGATTAACAACGTGGATGAGAAAGTCATGTGAATTCAAGTAATCCATTCACATACAATTTCTTCAGCATTTTATTGTCGTTTTATGTACAAAAGTAACCATGACAATGGCAGTGGCGCGTAATGGAAATCACAACATTTGTGGGCATCTGAAGCAAATGACAGGTAGCTGGTTCTAGCAAAGTAATGAGACGTACTAAATGGAAATTGCAAGTTATTAGCCACATTCAAGAAGTGTTTACAGAAGAGACCGATAATGGATGACCTCGACTTATAGAAAAGAGAATGGATTTTTCTTAAATGAACACAATGGAATACATTTCTTTACCCAGTTGATCAATTTGGCCTCGCAAATCACTGCAACCGCTAATATACACCCAGGAGCTAAGTTGGCCGTGATTGAAAATGCTTTCGGTGACACGACTTAAATTTGGTCTTTCTGACTACATTAACTTGTGAAGGTGATCACAGAATAATAATCCGGCAAGGATTGTCAGCTTGATAGTTGTTGACCCATCAGAACAGGTATGGTGCAAACACCCTAGTGTCAGTCATGGTAAACTGGGATTCAAACCTACTATAACAGGGTTCTGGCATGCAGAAGGAATGCAACATAGCGAATTGTAGCACCAACAGCAACTAGGCCACTTATGAGAGCTGGTAAAATTTCATGTGTCCCTGCAGATTAATATTGCATTATTGTGACAATGTATGGTAAAACGACATACAACAAAATATGTGGAAACTTCCTTGATTGTGCAAGCTACAAGAGAACACCGAAACAATAACAATAGCACATAACAAAGAGATGAGGATGGAGCTGAAACAATATGATCGAGATTCAAATAAGTAAGTTGAAACAAAACTGGTCCCGGGCCTTACTGAGTGAGTGCTATAACCAAGATTGCTTTATTGAGTGGGACCTGGAATATTGAAGGCACTGTCACCATTTGAAGCAAGAACCAAAATAATCTTCTCTCAGTAAAAGGAAATTACCTTAACAATACTAATGATATAAAACAGAAACTTGGGTGAGTAATCAACCTTGCAAACCAGAGGTCAATAGTGTGAACAACACCACTACATCAGGTCATAGTCGACCATGTAACGATGTAGACACACTTCACCAGGTTGTGACTCGCTCAGCCAGGTCACAATGACATTCTCGACCAGGTCAAGATTACCTTCAGCTGGGACCTAGCTGAGTGGGTTATGTTCCCTTGACTATGGGAAACCTATTCTGCTCCAGAATTACCACAACGCACCATGGACGCGCCATCTTAAACAGCTTGTACACAAACCTGGTCTACATGTCACTGTCACACATGAAACCTAAATGCAAGAATTTAGTCCTCTCCCTGTTTTGATTCAGTTCTTCAGTGAGGTGATATTGAAGAATGCCACCATCTACACTTCCTCTGTAGTCCATTATACCTGTTGCTGAGGTAAGATGTCCTGACTGCACCAGTGAGTGATCCCATCAAGCCCTTCACAAAATAACAAGATCATCATCATCTGCTGTTGCTGATGCTGGAACAGATTTGGCTTTTTTAGCAACAGTTGGCTCTGTTTCTCCTATATCCTCTGCTTTTCGCTTTCGTTTCTGTTTAGTTGGTGTGTCGTCAACTTGAGGTTCATCCACAATCATCAGTTCATCTACAGAATCTGGAAATAATAAAACAATGTTTAAAATTTTGAAAAGATAGATACAAGGAAAAGATTTGGATTTATTACAATTATATCATCGTGTGTCAGCTTCATGGAGGATAGCCCAAGGTGCAGCAGGTCACTGGGGAAACCCTCCAGCATTGGTACGACAGACCACGCATCACAACTTGATGTGGATTTATCTTACAACCAATCGACACAAAATCAACACATAAATGAAGATTCATCAGCCATGATGTCACAATCAAACGACATCATCAATCTCTCTACCACTGAAACTGATTAGGGGTACTTTTTACAGTAGACACTGGTTAATGGTTATTAATGCTTACAAGCTGAAAGAGTTCAACGTATGATTTCGTATGATGAATAGAATGCCAGCTTTGTGTCAATTGATATCAAGCATATCAACACACATCGACGAAAGTTGAAAAATCTTCGGCAAGCCTCAGAGTTTTAAACTTTTATTGACTCGATTTGATATACTTAATTTCTTACAGAAGACACTGACGTTTTTTTTGGTTGTTTGTTGTTTAACGTCGTTCTCAGCAATATTCCAGCTATATGAAGGCAGTGAGGAAATAATAGAGTCTGGACCAGACAATCCAGTGATTGACATCATGAGCATCGATCCACATAATTGGGATACGAGTGAGCTGCTCTGTATATACCGTATATACTGTCTGAAGGCATACAATGTCATTATTGTAATCAGAACTTCAGATTCCCATGCCTGAACGCTGAGGTGACCAAATCAGCAAAAGGGGTCAGGATAATACTTGGTTGTTTTGGTGTCATCCCTCCGTGATTGCATGGATCATCGATCAGGCTTTCAGTCAACGGTTTGTCTGGCCCAGACTCAACTAATTACAGGCTGCCGTGATAACTGAAATATTGCTGACTGCAGAATAAATCAACAAACAAACAAAACACAAACAATAAGATCCTCAGCGGTGCAGGAATGGTTACCTTGTTGCTTGCCGTTGTCACCATCGGCGCCACCTGCCTCCATCTGTGCTTCCTCTGTGGCTGAGGCTTTCACTTCCTCCAGGTCCCCAACAAGCTCAAACTCCTTCTCCTCATCCAACTTGTCACTGGAGTAACCATGGTATTAACAGATGTCAGTTAAGTCTTCAGTGATTTATGTTTGACAGAATCCAAATGTAATCAGCATGAAAAAATATTCCAGTTTAGAGAATCAACACTCCAAGACAACCGCAGTGACTTAGACCCAAACCTTTTTTGAGGAAGGGAACCCAGAACTAAGTTTCATGGAGCAACATTGTGATAGGGAGCAACGATTATGTTGTGGTAAATGATACAGGACTAAATAATTATAGGACACTATTTTAGAAAGGGACTCCCAACACTGTTGTGGAAAAGGATCCAGGAATAAATTATTATTGCACTATATTGTGTTAAGTGACCAAGTGATATTAACTTATGACTTGTTTGTTGTTTAACACTGAAGTCAGCAATATTTCAGCTTTATCAAGGCAGGTTGTAAATGATTGAGTCAGGACTAGAAAAACCAGTGATTGATGTTACGAACAACATCCATGCTGTCCGGGTAGAAGGACAAGTCATCAACCAAGTCATCACTCCTGACCACCCAGTCCATTCCGTCGCCTCTTACAACCACCAATGGGGTGCTGGGAAGCTATCAAAAACAACCATCTCCACTGGTGTGCAATATATTGTGGAAATGACTATCTTGTACATCCAGCTACTATCTGCCAATCATTACTCACACATGGACAATGGTGACGATCAGGCTGTAGTTCTGAAGAAAATCTTCACATTTTAACCTGGTTCCGCTGATTATGTTGAAGTGGGCAAGCATTTTGTCATTGTTTTCTGTAAACAGAACCACACAAATCATCACAATGAACATAGTATTACCCCAAATAACTAAGCATTCATAAAACACAGCATACAATTAGATTGGAATTTTGCAGGCAATTTACACCAAGCACAATGACAATTTAATAATCAGAGTAGAATCCTGGGATTTATTTGAAAGACACCATTGCTGGCACCAGAACTAATAGTTTGAGAGATGCAGGCAAGTGTCAGATGGACTGTTGATGTGAGCTACATCTATTATGACAGTAGACAAGATACTTGTGGTAACACTAACCTTCAGTTTCCCCCTCCTCACTGGAGATCACAATGGAACCTGGGTTGTTGGAAGACAAAGATAGACAATAGTTATCTAAGACAGAGTAATCCTTCACAATACTTTCATTTCTGTTTGTTGTTTAACGCCACACTCAGCAATATTCCAGCTACATGAAGGCGGTCTGTAAATAATCGAGTCTGGACCAGACAATCCAGTGATTGACATCATGAGCATTGATCCACACAATTGGGATCAATGACATGCATCAACCAAGTCAGCGAGTCTGACCACCCGATCCCGTTAGTCGCCTCTTACGACAAGCATAGTCGCCTTTTACGGAGCACTTTCATCACTACGTAATCAAACTAAACTTCTCCAACACATAGCATTTTCATGGCATCGGGTGTCAGGCTATACCGTACCTTTTCCATCATCTATCTCCACGTCCGGCGCCACCATTCCCAGCTGACCTTTGAGAACCTGGAGGAAGAGAGATGCATGTTCGGTCTTAAATACTGCCGTTATAACTGGACCGGCAGTGAAACCACTTCATTTTCTGCAGCCTCACAAAATCTATGTTACAAAAGATCACCACCGTCATCATTTTCACCATTTGTTTTCTCACACACGTCGCAGCCATTGGAATGTGTCTTGACTTACTTTTAGCCTTGACAGAACTCTCAAGTGAGTGAGTGAGCAAGCAGCCTTGAATAATATTCCAGTTCTATCATGGTCTGGCAGCTTGATGTGAGAGGAAAGCCGAAAGTGATACAAGTTTTAGATGTCTGCCACATTAGTGAAACTAACAAGTACGGGTATGGAGCTGACAAACCTTGAAACAATCAGGGCAGCTGAGATTCGAACCAAAACTCAAAGTGTGCCTGAGGAACACAATCTGCACATGCAATTGTGGTGCCTTAGCCCACTTCAATACTAATGGCTGGTTTCTCTCTAAGTTCAACACGCACAGAGTAGGACTCATTTGACTTCTGTGAGGCAAAACTACGACAACACCTATCATCTGCCCAATCGTCTGCATGTATCCACAGTGTATATGTTACAGTCAATGTGAAAAATCACACAAATTGGTGAGGAGAAATGGGGTTTAACGTCTCATCCAAGATTATTGCACTTGTATAGCGCATTTGTGTGTGTGTGTGGCTGCTTGTATTAGTCAGGACTAATCCCGATTTTATAGTGCTAGCATTGAGATACCATGCCGCAGTTTAACATGAATACCCCACTCAAACATATTACACTGACTCCGAGCCAACCAGTCCTTGTTTTAGCCCCTTTATGCTGATCACCAGGCAGGGTAACAAAAAGTACTATCTTTCAATATCTTTTGATGTGATTTGGACTTCCGCTCTCCAGGTGGATGCTCTATCACTAGACCACGGAGACGGTCTTTTACAAATTTACTGAACTACCGTGTCGCCATACACGGTGTTGAAAGTTGTATTAATTGCATTGATGGCTTCAAGGTCGGCGATGACAGGTTCAGCTGTAACGGGCGCATCGGGGAGAATACGGGTGTGGCGCCAACAGTTAATGATGGTGTCTTGTTTCATTTCATTCCAAGCAGTCCTGATAAAAAGCAAAGCTCGCTTGACGTCCAGGGCTTGTGGTACTTCAGCATCAACGTTGTCAAGGTGTTATTTCATTTGCTGTTTCTTATAATAAAGCTTAAAATTCTTTATTATCCCGGCATCTAGTGGTTGAATGTGCAATGTGGTGTTGGGTGGCAAAAAGTGACATTTGACATAAGTTGTGTCGACAGTAGCATGGGATGGGGTGTTGTCCAACATCAATACCACGTGGCGTCGCTCCAATCGCATTTGCCGATCCAAGATCAGTAGCCAGGCTTTGAATATTAATGAAGTCATCCATGCTTTCTTGTTTACATACCAGTGGCAAACTGATGTGGGGTCAAATGTTCTGCCAAAACAACGTGGCCTGTTGTATTTGTGAATAACTAATGGCTTTAGTTTCTCAGTGCCTGTCAATCGATCTTTGGCCTGCTTTTTGCCAGAAACGGGGATTGTACCAAGTGTTGAATTTGGTTTGAACAAACCCGTTTCGTCAGTTAAAAATATCACACGGATTGTATTCACGCAGCACTTCTTGCAAGGATTCTCAACCTTCATGAACAAGTTCTAGTGAAACGGATGCTGATTCACCATGGACTTTATGCATCTTAATTCCATGTCTCAGCTTGAAGCGATTGAGCTAACCAGTGCTGTATGAAAAATCTTCAAAGCCTAATTTGTCACCTAACACCTTCGCTTGAGTTTTAAGAAATTCGTCATTTAACATGATGTTTCTCTTTCTAACGTCTGAAAAACCACAAGAACAGTGCATTTTCTAATTCTTCTTGTTGTGGCTTTCATCTACGGGATGTGCTGGTGTCAGATGAAGAAACTGCTGTTCATTTCGACGATTCCTTCACAATGTTGGAAATTGTTGATCTGCCAATCTTCACGCAGATTTTTTCAAGTACAAATGTGATGATTTCATTCTGAGTGATGTTTGGTTTACTCTGCTTAAACATACAGATCTCCTTCTTGATTTGCGGGGTGATTTCTACTCGTGCACGGGGCTGTGTACTCGTGGGCAGATGACCTCGTAGTACGCTGACCACTGTGTCAGATTAACGAGACTGATTAATGAGTGATTTTGGTAATTCATTGCAAATTAGGTGTGTCGGTGTGCGAGAATGTCGGATTAACAGGTCTAAATACCACTGATATAATCGGTTCCCATCATTTGTGTCGGATAAAGCCGATTGTCGGATTAACAGGACTTGACTGTATCAGGCAGAATTTTGACACATTTACTGAAATTTAATATGCAGCATAATTGCTAACTGGTCTTCAGTTTGTTCAGTTCCAGAAGAACAGTAGTTATCATTCTGGACTTAAGCAGTCTCCCTTCAATATTCTGCCCGATTCAGTCGATTTGTAAAATAGCTGATTTTACACACTGACTGTTACATATACAAACTGATGAAGACTGATGATGGGTTGCATATTTCCTGCTACTGAAATATCAACCTACCTTCTCCTCCAAACATTTCACAGTTATCTTGTCTGTGTTGAGTCGGACGGTTACCTCCGGTTTAGCTGAACATACATAGCACTTGGGGTTGGGTGGGTCTAAGGAACATGGAACAAGCAGCTTCTTCCTTGCGTTGGGCTGTCGGTTGAGATAAACCTGAAATTGAAATTCCACAGTTAGTTTGTTATAGTTATATGAAGGTTGCCTGAAAATCATCAAGTCTGGACCAGGCAATGCTGCCGGGTACGATGACACACAACCAATCAATCACTGAGTCTGACTAGCTTGTCTATTTGGTCGCTTCTTACAACCAGCATAGGTTGCTGGGGACCTGTTCCACCATAGAATTTTTAAATATTTTTCCAACACGGATTTGATTAAATGCCTGTGAGTGGTGGGTACAAAAGGGCAAATATATAATAAAAGGGCTAAGTCAAATATTTTCAACATGACAAATAATAAAACCAAAAAACAAACCACTTCAGTTAGGATTTCAAACAGGAACATCAATGGTTAATCAGTGAAAAGGATTCATGTTATTATTTGCGATAGTTATGATATGCTATTATAAGATGAGGTCAAATGGGGGTTAACGTCAGCGATGTGCACGTGTGCGTGTTCAACATGAATACCCTACAAAGACACAGTATAGTGATTCCGGGCCGACCAGTTCTTGTTTTAGCCCCTTAATGCCGAGCCCCACACAGGGTAACAACAAGTACCATCTTTTGGTATGACTCGGCCGCGGATTGAACCCCAGACCTTCCACTCTCCAGGTGGACGTTCTACCACCAGACCACGGAGGCAGTCCTCTGCTGTTGTGACTATAGAAGAAAAGTTGTGGGATGCTTCCTCCTTGTACCAAGATGACATACTCACAGTTTTACATTTCTCAATGTCCCCTGCCAGTATTTTGAGTCCCTCCATGACGATGAGACCAGCAATGATGGCGTTGGTGGTGGCTATAGCTGGGATGATGTTTCCCGCCATGGCTGAAACACAACACCGTGGATCAAGGAAGAGTCAATAGCCATGTTCTGCATGTTAAGTGTTTGTTATGTAATGTCGCACTCAGCAGTGTTACAGCCATATGACACAGGCCTGTATCCAGTGATTGATATTGTGAGCAACGATCACTGGGGTACAATACATGCTATAAACTTTTCACTGAGCCTGGCAACCCAATCGACTAAGTTAGCTCTTATGACCAACATAGGTTGCTGGGGACCAATCCTAACCCAGAATCCCAGGGCTGCATGTGAGTGAAAGAGTAGGCCAGAGACACTGAGTCACCCATGCCATAGTCTGAACAGCATGTAGTCTAGATCTTATTCCACAAAGCAATCTTATTTAGGCATGTTCCGTCAGTCTTAATACCTAAGTAGAATCAGGGACAAGTAAACCAGTGGTTATAGCATGGACACACCTCAGGAATCATAACACGCAATATATCAGGTCACACACCTTCATATCCCAGACTGAGTTGACAGGCATGGTTTGCAGGAACATCTTTGGTGGGTGAGTGAATGAATGCTGTTTCAAGTCACTATCAGCAATATTCCAGCTATAATGGTGGCATGTAAACAGTCTTGGACAGGATACTGTCCAGGTATGATTGCACACTCACTATAAGACCGGTCACTATCAGCAATATTCCAGCTATAATGGTGGCATGTAAACAGTCTTGGACAGGATACTGTCCAGGTATGATTGCACACTCACTATAAGACCGGTCACTATCAGCAATATTCCAGCTATAATGGTGGCCTGTAAACAGTCTGGGACAGGATACTGTCCAGGTATGATTGCACACTCACTATAAGACCGGTCACTTATTTGGACCACCCAATCCTCATTATGTCAGCACTGACAACAAGCATGGCATACTGGGAGCTTATTCTACCCCGGAATCCCAACTGGGTGTGACACTGTCAAACCATGAAACAACAAATAAAGTACTCTCAATTCTTAACAACAGACATGTGAAAGCATGACCAAGCAATAACAGTTCTTTGCATGTCCTTACATTTAATATCAAAGCGGGACTTGAGACCAATGCCAAAGATATGAGCGCGAATGTTGGCAGCACATGTTACAAAGTCCATAGCTGTATCATCGTCCTAGAAGAAAAGAAAGACAAAAACCTTTTACCATTGGTAACTGGAAGAAAAATATAAGTAAACTACAACATTCTAACACAGTGAGTGAGTGAGTGATTGAGTTGGGTTTAACACTGTTTTTAACAGTATTCCAGTTATATCACAATCATAGGTTCCTGGCGTGCCCAAGGGATGCAACCAGTATAAGAATACTAAGTATGGTGAACATAGTCAAGTCTAACAAAAGAAAGAAAAGCATATTTGATGTATGTAAGACACAGTCTGAGTCAACAATGACATCCTGTCACCAGTTCAACATTAAGTCGTACCTTGTCCCAGATGAGCATCCCTCCATCGCCCTGCTTGGCAAACTCCACCTTGAGGACTCCAAGACATCTGCCAAAGATCTCAGCACACTCCTTCATCGACCACACCTTCTGGTCCCGCATACCTGCACCGCCATTCTCTAGACAACACAATGATAGAGTGAGTATGGTTTTACGCTGCTTTGGGCAATATCACGGCAGGGGACACCAGAAATGGGCTTCACACATTGTACCCATGTCGGGAATCGGACCCGGGGCTTTGACGTGACAAGCGAACACTTTAACCAATAGGATACCCGACTGCCCCCACTGTACTGAACAGCTAGTGTTATCTAATGATTCATATTAGTATACATCAATGGCATGACACTACGTGAGCGAGCAAGCGAGCGAGTGAGCGAGAATTAACACTGCTTGCATTGTAGAATTCTGTTGCATCTGCTTGATGTGGGAGGAAAGCTTTAACTGGAGCAGGTCTTAAGACATTTATTTTTGGTAAAACAAGTAGGAAGCTGTATTATCATTGCTGAACATGAAATGTGGTTCTTAACAAAAATTATCAAAATGAAGGCCTTTTAAATGCTCACATTTTCAAGGCTAAAAGTAAGACCCAAGCAAGCCTTTAAATAGACTTACAGAGCAGCTCTGTTTGTTCATTCAGATATGCTGTTAAAATATTCATGTTAACACACCTGTGTTAGAAGATTATTTACTACTGATGACATTATGGATTAATCATAGTCTCACATGTCATCACATATTACCAGAAGGAAAATAATCGAGGTATACTTTTTTCCAAATTCAAGCCCTTTTCACGTCATTATTCAAAGTATAAGGCCTGTTCAAGTGAGATTCAAACTTAAGGCCTTTTCAAGGCCAGGCAAATTCAAGGCCATGAAAGTCTATTCGGACGTTGAGAACTACCGGACGAGATACACAGAACACACCTGCATCAGCAGCCTCAGGTAGGTGATCCCAGTCCAGGGGCGTGGGAGGCCTCCGCTTCTTCCAGAGTGTCTCCATGGAGAGCAGGTACTTGATGTCATCCCGGAACAGCTAGCGGGCATAGAATGAATCAAGTCAACTGTCGCCACTCGGAGGTGCAGAGTTATTCCATGTCTTGCAGATTAGGGCGTCAAGACACATGCTGGCGCCTGACACATGATTGAAAATATTCTACTACTTCTAGGCTATCTGAACTACAGCTTAACATAATAACTTGAAGTGGTTCAATAGTCTTGCCCAAAATGCAGCTTTAGAAACTAACAGTTTCAGTCCACTGGTCCTTATAATGATAACATATAGCAAACCACCTGAAAATGGCATATTTGTACTAGTCCTTATGATACCTTAACTATTGGGCAGTTTGGCAAGGACTACAGGACGAGTGCCAGTTTCTAACGCTGAAATGTATTTTCATCCCAAACTGGCTTATTCCCATCAGGATTATTTAACATAAACAAGAGGCCCATAGGGCACGTTGGATATTTATGCAATCATGACAAATATACATTTGCATTGTACATATATATAATACTGAAAATATTTCGTAAATCTGACAGCATGAACATGTAACGTAGATACAAATGTAACATAAAGATCTGAACCGTTTCCATGTTATGATCAGGGTAAATCATATAAAAGGTATTATTCTCTTCATAACAAACAAATGTATACAATGTTTCTGTTTATTATCGGATTGCATGTTATGGTCAAGGTTCTAACTCCTTTGGGAGTGCTGGACAGATGAACAGTAGGGCCAGTCCTGGTAGCATATGTGCATTCCTCTCATTATACTCTCAATTGTACATATGGTTATACGATGGGGATCTTAACTGTGTCCAAGTTATAAACGCTTTTTAGCCCGGCCCCTCAGTCCCCGGGGCTGGGGGTAGGGTTCAGCCCTCCATTTCTCCAATTTGAATCCCCACCATTGGAGAATGCTTCCGACCAAATATGGTTGATAACTATCTCTTTGTTCCAGAGAGGAAGTCGTTTCAAGCAATATAGCCAAATTATTCCTATTTGGCCCCAACCCTCAGCTCGGTCAGACCCACCATTTGTACAATTTTGAATCCCCACCACCTAGGGATGCTTCCAACCAAATATGGTTGATGTCTATCTCTTAGTTCTAGAGAAGAAGTCTTTTGAAGCAATATAGCCAAATTACCCCTATTTGGCCCCATCTCTCAGCTCCTTGGGGGGGGGGGGGGGTCAGCCCCACCATTTGTACAATGTTGAACCTCACCACCGGAGAATGTTTCCAACCAAATATGGTTGATATCTATTACTTAGTTCTAGAGAAGAAGTCGTTTAAAGCAATATAGCCAAATTACCCCTATTTGGCCCTTCCCCTCAGCCCCTGGGGGGTCAGCCCCACCATTTGTAAAATTTTGAATGGAGTGCTTCCAGTCAAATTCTGCTAACTTCCAATTTGTGGTTCAGAAGAAGAAGTCGTTTGAATAAACTGTTGATGATGTTACGTGTGGTATGAACGGCAGGGGTTCCTGCTAATACCACAAATAACAATTACAAGAATCACACAACAATCTCTGAAGATTAAAGCTAGATTTAATAATTAAAACAAAGATAAGTATATAACAATTCTCAGTTACTGGGCAAGGCACTCATACACATCTATTTAGGCAAAGCAATATGGCAAATGTGCAATATAGATAATAGTCACCTCAGATTTCTTGACATCATATTCCCAATGAATTCCATTTCACATTGTTCCAAACTTATATATCCCAGTTCACGGGATAACTGGATAACAACAGTTTCCTCCTTTGAAGCATCGACATGACCTTCTAACTTTGTCTCCTGACATAACGCTGGACTGAACTGCCCTCGCTCAGTTAAACCATATTTCTCCCTCTCCAAGTCTTTTTCCTTTTCCCTTTCTGTTCGATAACTTGCCCTCATATAGTAAACAAATTTCCAAGTAAGCTATCTACTTCAGCACACAACAAAAGGTTGATCGGCCCACACCAATCAGTTACCAAGCCAACTCAAACTCCAATCTCCCCACAAGCACGCTTCTCCCCGTCAGGCAGCTTGCTTAACTCAATCAAGCATGACGCCGTCCACCCAAACTGGACCCCTTGTGAACCACACAAATATACAACGCCACTTATAACAATGAACGGAGAACGGACAGACTGTGGACGCCACGGTATGGCATAAGCTCACCTTGTCTATTACATACAGGTATACTTAGTTATTGTACTTCTAAATAAAATATTATGTATTTCAATCCCATCTAACCTTATTGAATATTTTCTGTGGGTCATATCCAGTCTGCATGGCCCATGTTCTAGTGGACTTCCTCTCTATATCTTTCTTGCCTCCCTCCAGTGCTGCCTCACCAGCCTCACCTGCACAGGACACGTTACAGTACAGCAGGGCAATAACACAAGACACATCACAGTACTGCAGGGCAATAACACAAGACACATCACAGTACAGCAGGGCAATAACACAAGACACATCACAGTACTGCAGGGCAATAACACAAGACACATCACAGTTCAGCAGGGCAATAACACAAGACACATCACAGTACTGCAGGGCAATAACACAGGACACATCACAGTACAGCAGGGCAATAACACAAGACACATCACAGTACAGCAGGGCAATAACACAAGACACATCACAGTACTGCAGGGCAATAACACAAGACACATCACAGTTCAGCAGGGCAATAACACAAGACACATCACAGTACTGCAGGGCAATAACACAGGACACATCACAGTACAGCAGGGCAATAACACAAGACACATCACAGTACTGCAGGGCAATAACACAAGACACATCACAGTACAGCGAGGCAATAAAACAAGACACATCACAGTACTGCAGGGCAATAACACAAGACACATCTCAGTACAGCAGGGCAATAACACAAGACATCTAAGTACAGCAGGGCAATATCACAAGACACATCACAGTACAGCAGGGCAATAACACAAGACACATCTCAGTACAGCAGGGCAATAACACAAGACACATCACAGTACAGCAGGGCAATAACACAAGACACACCACAGTACAGCAGGGCAATAACACAAGACACATCTCAGTACAGCAGGGCAATAACATAAGACACATCGCAGTACAGCAGGGCAATAACACAAGACATCTTAGTACAGCAGGGCAATAACACAAGACACATCACAGTACAGCAGGGCAATAACACAAGACACATCACAGTACAGCAGGGCAATAACACAATACACATCTCAGTACAGCAGGGCAATAACACAAGACACATCACAATACAGCAGGTCAATAACACAAAACAAAAAACAATCGGATGAAGCCTTTGTCGTCCTTTCAGTATATACAAATTTATGCTACTTCCAAACATTGCTGTAGTTTATCTGATTTCTCCACAGTAACCTACAAAGGGGAGGTAAGTTCTCTGACACCATTACCTGCAAGCTCCGGGTCGGCTGTATCAGGGGACACGTCCTGGTCTGGATCTTCCTCCCCAAACAATTGACTGAAACAGTGAGGAGTGAGAACTATCAGAGTTACCTTCCTGAATACCCCTGCCCATTTGGGAAACAAACTGGACAGAGAAATAAACAAAGCTAAGGTCTAAGGGAGGTAACTTGCTTGAAACTACTTGTTTCTATGTTATTGGCAGTTGTAAGTATTAGAATCATGTGTTGTAGCATTGTGTTGTCATAATATTGTATATAATTTGTGTGAATTTTGATGTTTTCAGATGCCCTTATGGATTGTGCAGAAAAAGCTTTTTTTTTATAAGCTCTGTCTAGATTCACTAACTAGTAGTAGCAGTGGCAGTAATATTGTTCTCCCAACACAATATTCCAGCACAGGGGTCCGGAAAATTTAAAATCCCAATCGGACATTTGCATTTAGGCCACGCCCCCTTCAAATAGCGTATTTTAGTACGACTTTTCACACACATTACAAGTTTACGTATTCATAATATGATGAATTATGAATTATTTCAATTTAAATTGTTTAATTCACCGGACAATTAATAACAAATAATATCATTTTAGATTTACATGGAAAACATACGTTTGTTTCTGTTATAATAACGATCTGTTAACGTAGTGAACGGTCTAATTAATATTCATGAGTTATATTCATGAGTCTGCTCAAGTGTACGCGTTGTAACATTTGGATCGAGACTATAATCCCATATTTGGTTATCACGTGACCTCATGGGAATTTTTTTTTTAAACTAAAGATTTTTTTAAAAATAAGACAGATAATTTAATCACAAATACTAAAATATCGTTGATAGCAATAGTTATTTGAATACGTTTTTCATCTGTACTTAATTATTGACCATAAAAAAAATTGGATATCGATCGTCACAGAAAGCAAAATGGCGGTCAATCAAGATTCAATATACGACTAGCTACTGAAAACAATAAAATCTGCAAATCCTCATTGTATGTCAACCAAGTGAAAGTCGTTAGCCACGACTTACAAAATGATCTTCCAGACTTTGAGGGTTTGGCAGATCTGCTCGACTGATCTGCATCGGTCGACTGGCTGTCGTCGCGCTTTCGCTTCTTGTCTGAGGTTACGTATCGTAGCATTGTGAGGATAATGAGCTACATCGATGATGCAAGGTATTAATGTACAGTTGTAAACACCTTTCACTCAAATTAACAAGATGTTCTCAGTAATTAATCCTCGATTAATCGGTGTCAACTCAGTTTATTGCCTATTACAGTGATTGACCGATTGGACTATCATGTAGGTACGATGTATTTACAGCAATCAAAACAAACAAAGCTTGTCAGTGTAGTTAATCTTCATTGTGTTGCAACTGCAGACAGAAACTGCTCAGTCCTAACTGTTGATCATGTCCGGTCAAAATTTAAGAATGTCCGGACAATACTTTTTAAAATGTCCGGTAAGCAATATTTTAAAACGGACATTTGAGATTCCCAATCGGACATGTCCGGCGCATATGACGGTTTCCGGACCCCTGTTCCAGCAATATCTCAGCAGGGGACACCAGAAATGAGCTTCACACATTGTACCCACGTGGGGAATCGAAACTGGATCTTTGGCGTGATGAGCAAATGCTTTAGATACTAGAGTACCCCACCGCCCCTCAAACCATAAGGAACATGCCAGGTACTTACTTGAAGAGATGTTTCGCCCACACGACACAGTGGATGGGTTCAGATGGAGTGTTCCTGATGGTGCACCCTGGGAAGGATTTCTGTCTGGGCTTCGGCTGACACTCGTAACATTCCGTAAGACCCTGGAACAAACAAAGACAATAAATGAAATAACATCGAAAACATAAACCTAAAACATCGGATTTCAGAGTTAAAAACTTTAAACATAAAAAAATAATTTAACTCATTGCCAGCTGTTTTGATTTTGTAATTGATCATTAAGAAAGCTATGTCAACACTAATTTAACATTAAAATTCAATACCTGGTAATTAACATGATAAATATGCCATAAGATTACGCACATAATATTTGTCTTCAATGAGCAGATTTCTAAAATATATTTGATAACTGTGAAAGTCCTTAATTACCAACCCTTAACACGATTAACACAAACTGTTTGATGATGGAGAATGTGACGAGTAAAGTGGCATCAGTTTTGTTGAATGTCAGTGGTTGAGGATTCAAATTCAGAGATGAATGTGGAATGGTTTTAATACCCTACCTTTCCTAAAACATATTAAAGCTGTGATGTTTCAAAAAGAGAAAGGAGAAAATCCTCTGGCACAGACACCCATGAAACATTTCTTACATGGCCCACCCGAGAGAACATGAAGCAGCCTTTGTAGAGTATTAAAGTACACATCTCTGTTATGATGTTACATGGTTTCACACTTCAGCCATGGTTTGTGTATTTTCTATTAATCTTAATATAAATGCAGGTACAGCTACTGGAGGATAGAGTGAGTCAAGTTTTACAATGCATCAATAATGATCCTCTGGTGCTATAAATGAATACGTTAACAACAATACTAAAACAACATCCCCCATTGGGGAAAGACAACTTAAAGTTTGATGGCTGAGTCATATTTTAATTCTTATCTGCTATGTCAGCTTCTCATCTTATTGTTAAAAACAACAACATAAAAGAAAACATTTCACATACAGAATGGGCTTCGCACACTGTACCCATGTTGGAAATCAAACCTGGGTCTTCAGCATGACCATCTAACACTGTAACCACTAGGCTACCCAACACCCCTACTTTTGAATGGGTGTACCTTCTTAATGACAGCAACCTGTCCCAGGTATCCAGCTGTCCCACTCTCTACCAGGGGGATGTCAGCAGCCAGACACATTCGGTTCACATGGTTCCGAGCGGCTGTAAAAGTTCAAGAACATCACCCGTTAAGCCAGCATTGCAAAGTCATTGAAGAAAACATAAACGGACAAAATTCCTACAATTCTCAACATTCCATATGGTCAAATACCTTATCATGTTCTGATACTTGGTATCCAATGGGAAATAGTCATCCTACTTATCAGGCTTATTTTGCCTTATAACATTGAAATACCTTCAATAAGTTGTGTCCTCTGCATGATTCTAGCCACTGTGCAATAATATATATGTACTAAAACACAACACAAACCTTAACACATTTTCATGCAGCACCTTTGTAGAGTTTTTGTTTGTTTGTTGTTTAACGCCGCACTCAGCAATATTCCAGCGCTCTGTAAAAAATTGAGTCTGGACCAGACAATCCATTGATTGACATCATGAGCATCAATCCACGCAATTGGGACCGATGACATGCATCAACCAAGTCAGCCCATCCCGTTAGTCGGTCGCCTTTTACGACAAGAATGGGTTGCTGAAGACTTATTCTACCCCGGATCTTCACGGGTCCCTTTGTAGAGTAAATAATTCTTCATCACACATAGAAATGCACATATGTGCGGCCACTTGATTTAAGTTCCGTATCTTAAAGAAGTAATAGTCTGAGAAAGAGTGAGTTTGAACTGAATTTCACTCACAGTATGATAACCACGGAGAGTGTGCGAGTGAGTGAGTGCATGAGAGTGAGTGAGGACACACTTGATGAACTTCGACAAAAGATAACCAACATTCCGTTCCTACCCACCTCTGTTGTCCAGTGCATTCATCACCAGGTCAAACTTCTTGAAGAAGTCCAGGCCATAGTCAGAGCTGTTTGAATAAAAAACTGTTATCAAAAATGCCGCAATATGCTTATGAAGCATGTCTCACATGCAGCCATCCTACAATCTTTACACATCTTCATCTGTGTATGTACCAGTGCCTAGAGATTATTTGTGTGTACGTGTCATGCTGATTGTATTCAATATGTCAGAATCTCTGAATGAGAGAGAAATACATGAAACAAGACAGAAGTGTTGTGATATCAGCTACACAAAAGAATGTAATAACCTTAATCATCCCTACACAATAATTAGCTGTAGTGAAGAAGCAGTGTCTTCATTCATGAAAACCGTTTTCATGAAGATACCAGGGTCAACATTCATACCTTGTAACATCATCCCTATTGAACCGCCTCCGTGGTCTAGTGGTAGAGCGTCCGCCCAGAGAGCGGAAGGTCGGGGGTTCAATCCCCCGCCGCGTCATACGAAAAGACGATAAAAGATGGTACTTGTTGTTACCCTGTCTGGGGGTCGACATTAAAGGGCTAAAACCAGGACTGGTCGGCTCGGAGTCAGTATACTGTGTCTGAGTATTTATGTTAAACTGCGGCATGGTAGTGGGCTAGCACTATAAATCTGCATTAGTCCGGAAGAGTACAAGCAGCCACACACGCGAGCATGCACGTCGCTATATAAGTGCAATAATCTTGGACGCGACGCTTAACCTCATTTCACCTCACCTCATCACTATTGTGATGTCATCAATATGAGTCAACAATGCTGTCTGTACTACTTCTAACAAGAAGGCTAACTAAGAAAGTGTTAATCACTGACACTCTGGATGTCAGTTATTTCAGAAAGGAATAGTTAGTTCATCCAATAAGAATATATCAATCAGGTAATGAACCTTAATATACATATTCGATCGTTGGACTTGTTGGACAAACCTCATCACACTGTCATGGTATGCTACGATATCGGCATCTGGGTTGAACTTCAGGGCACTCTCTTTCGCCACCTGTCAAAATACCAGCAAATACATCCAATTCTTGCAGGGACATATATCAGTGCATTGTGTAACCCACAATGAGACAATAACAGCAAATGAATTACATTTTAACTTCAAAAGAAATAAACAAATGATGAAGATGCAAAATTCATGTAAAAAAATAGATCAAACCTAAAATGCAAAAGAGTCTTTATCAGTAATCATGGTAATGCATATCTGATGGGAAATGACATCAACCTGAGTGTGTGAGTAATGTTTAATGACACATTCAGCAATATTCCAGCTATATGACAGTGGCCTGCGAACAATCACTGCCAGGCAAACTCCAGTCAAGTCCTGTTTATCTGACATGGTTGGTTGCATATGATTATGTCGGATAAAAGAGTATGTTGGATAAACAAAATTAAGTAGTATCAATGTTCATGACCGAAAGTTTATCTCTGCAGCCATTGTAATACGCGGCTACTAGCTGACTCGTCTCGCATCAAAACACGGGGCTGTGTACTCGCGGGCAGATGACCACTGAGTACGCTGATCACTGTGTCGGATTAATGCGACTGATTAATCATAAATGAGTGATTTCGGTAATTTGTTGCAAATTAGGTGTGTCGGAGTCGGAGTGCAAGAATGTTGGATTAACAGGTCTAAATACCACTTATTTAATCAGTTTAATCAGTGATAAAGCCGATTGTCAGATTAATGTGTGTCGGATTAACGCGACTTGACTGTACTGACTTGAGAAACTTGAGCAACAATCCACACCATCTGGGTATGAAGTCACACAATCAGCCAAATCAGCCTGACTAACTGATCAATTTATTTGTCTCTTACAACCAGCAAATTCTAAAATAGAAGACCTGTTCTAACTCAGGGCATCAACAGGATATAATTACTCCGTAGTGTTCATCAATATGCAAAAAAGTCAAAAGGTCCTTATGATCACCCTAATATCAACAGTTTAAAATAATTGAGGTGGGCCTTATATACAAATACTATAGTAGCAAACCTTAAGGACCCCACTTAAATTTAAACACTGCTCCATTACACTAGTCGTGTAATTGGCAGTGTAGTCACTCGTGTGAATCAGACACAATGATGATACAGTTATAGTGAGCTGGTTAATGCCCCCTTGAACGGTATTCTAGTTCTATCACTGCATGTCAGCTTAATGTGGGAGGAAAGCAGGTCTCAGATATTTACTACTTGGTTAAACACACGAGCATGGGTATGGTGCTGACAAATATAGAAACCATATCGGGGCGAACCGGGATTCAAACCCACAAACACAAGTTTCTGACATGCCAAGGGACACTCTGCCCAGCAAATTGCGGCACCTTAGACAACTGGGACACCCCATTCTGTTAAATGACATAAGTACCTGTGATTTGGACTTTCCAACATGCTCCTTGCGAAAGAGAAACTGCCGATTCAGATTGCTCACATCAATCGTATCAAGATCAATCTGGAAAAGAAATCAATGGAGTTATAAAATGCTGTTGGATATTCACTGCTTGAAAATTTGTTTTCACGAAATGTGGAAAACAAGCAATTGTTTCCACATATACAACTCCAGAAACATACAATATGTACAATAATGTACAAATCTAAAATCGTGAAAATCAACAAGTCATATGAAAAAGGTCATTTTGTCCGTGGACAAGATAAATGGAACTGTCAAATCAATTATTATTTTTTAGAATTTAGAGACAAACAAATTCGAACAACAATGCATATTTACATTCACAGTAAAATCTATCATTCTGACTTTTTAATAAACATAAAATTGATCTTATAATCTCTGTTCTAATCATATTCATTGAGTTTAAATATTACCATATGGCACTGCATGCAGATCGTGTCAGTGAAATTACATTTTTTCTAATGAAATAAAAAAAATATTTTTTTTCCGAAAGTTTAAAAATAATGTAACAAGTCTTGGAAATAACATCACAGCAGACCACATTACAGTTAAAGTCAACCATTCATTATTGCCCCAATCCTGGACCCTGCAGTTTTTAGAGACCAGAAAAAAAGGACCCAAGGCAAAACTTTCAAGACTATACCTAATGGCATTATCTTTAATCAAAATTTGAAACCGAAGATTTTAATAGGTGAATAACAGAAATGTCTGTGAAGTGACAAGTGCACAACACTGACTTTGCTTGCTCCTTACAACAGCATATTTGTCTATTACTATCTTATTTCTTATATTTACTTTCAACTACATAATTTTTTTTAGGTTACTTGTAGGTTTGGGGTTTACAGCACCACACAATAAGTACTAATTGCAACATTGCAAAGTATCCTACACTCTTATGCATACCATACACCAGATGAGTGAGTGAGTTGGGTTCAACACCGCTTTTAACAGTATTCCAGTTTCTGTTATATCACGGCGTGTCAGCTTAATGTGGGAGGAAATCCTGAAGTGATGCAGGTCTCAAACGTTTACCACTTCAGTGATGCAGGTCTCAAACGTTCACCACTTCAGTGAAACCCACGAGAACGGGTATGATGCTGACAAACCTAGAAACATAATCAGGGTGAACCAGGATTCGAACCTACGATTATAGGTTTCTGGCGTGCCCAAGGAACGCAACTCTGCACAGCGAATTGTGACGCCTTCGCCAGATGAATTCCCTGACGTCGTACTGAGGTGTCGTTTTGGTCTGCAATAATGATGATAGTGTGGCATCTGAATCTTGTGTTATTTTCATAACAAGGCCAGGATCTGTCTACCCAACTTTTGTTAATCAGATCAGATCAGTAAAGCATAAACCAGTTTGCTTGGCATTAATCTCTACTGTATTCTCTCCTTTTTATCATGTGCAAGTTATGTCAGCCAACAGACTAATGTTGATGCTAAAATAAGCCTGCTGCAAATTTCGGGGCCCAAATTTCATGGAATTTTATTGTGAAGTCTTCGTCGCCTGTCATGATTATGCATCAACAGAACCAAATTACCAGTTCAATATCCTTAAAGCCGGTAAGGACAAGATTCTTCAGCAGCTCACATCCTATTCCACCAGCCCCAACCACCAATAATTTGCACTTGAGCGTTTTCTCGCGCACCCTTTCATCCAGCACCCCTTCTATGGCGGCCGCCATTTTGTTTGAATAAGACGCAAATAAAGAAAGTTCCTCTGATTGGTCAATTTCTATTCTTTGGCTCGATGTCCTACTGTAATTTTATTCTTAATAATTTTATCCGGTATTTGATAAACTAATGCATTAGTTATTTACCATTTAGTATGTTTTGTGAAGCTAAAACGCAAAGTATTATTGGCTGCCCTTTCACTGTTTAATTATTTTTTTCATTAGTTCATAACGTGTAGTAGGATGACAGATCGCGGGAACTTCAATGCTGTGATCGGACATGGACGTAAGAAGTGAAGTTAGAGATCAAGCAATCAAATCTTCCGAGCGCTGTATGTTATTGTCATGTTTTTTCATACCTCAGTGGGATGCACGATCTGGAGCATATGTCCATGCTAGGTCTAAGACACCCTTTTCATCTTTAAGGAAAGACATTCACCCGTATCCCCCTTTCAAAAGTTATTAATGAATACATTGCCGCTCAATCCGCTTACTTACAGTTACATAATTATATTTTGAGGGGGGATACGGATACCCTAAATTTTACTTATGAAGACTGTAGTAGCGGGTATGGGGTAGATGTTGGTGGGGTACTCGCAACAGGAAGCTACTTGTAGGTCCAGATGGCATCCATGTCTATTCAGAGTGTACCCTCGCGACACGTGTTTCCGTGGTATTAAGCACAGGCACAGAGTACTTCCTGGCTGCTTTGTAGACAGAAGAAGCTCGTTCAACTACTTCCAGTTAGGCTCCTTTCAGTTGTGTTGGACTATAAGGCCGGTACTGTCGTTTACGTCTCGCAGGATTATCCTACAAACCATGATAAACGATATAAGATATGGCCCTACTCAGCTTCCATAGTTATAAAAATTGAGCGGGTATTCCCCTTAGTAGTCACGTGATACACATTACTGTTTACATCAGCTAGCAGACGAACTTCTCTTGCTGAACTTACGAGTTGAATATTTTTTACGATCTCTTTTTTTATAATGGTACAAAAAGTGCATTACGTGCAGAAGGTTAGTTTTAGTTTGTTTATCGTAATATAAAGCTGTACTTACGCAAATAGATGCAATTCTGAAGATTTTTTCATTCGGAGCTGTCATGATCGAGTTGTCAATGTAAACAAATCCGTGCGAGGTGCGCAGGAAATGACGTCATAAAAAAATACCACGGATTGATGTGTCGGCAGGATATAATAGCCAAAATGTGTAATGTGTTTATAACATTTACATTACACATGAAATCTGTGACCAACACAAGGGAGTGATTCCCGACTGCCACACTTATGGCAATGACATATTCATCAACCTAAACAATGCTAAAGGAATAGTGCACATAGACTAAATACACTAATAGATGTTTAGTATATTGAACACAGTAATACACACATTCTTTTTACAATGATTCACATGCATCACATCTGAATCAGTGCATTAGAAACACTATTTAGAAAAGCATTCAGAACATTCTAAACATAAAACATTACTCATTACTTACTACAACACTTTTTTCATTCACTGGAAGTGTTAGAATATATTTTAGTGATAACCTATGCATGTTTTGTTTACTTAATGAAGATTTAAATAATAAGACATAACCTACATTTATATGGTGGCAGGGCAAAACGGCCTCAAAGGGTAAAGTCAAAACCGCCACAGAAAAAAGTAAAAATGGCGACAACCTACTGTGAAAACAGCTATGAAACAAAATCAAAACAGCTATAGCAGAAAAGTCAAAATGACCCGAACAAAATAAAAGACTACAAACTCAATTATTGTGTCACCATTAATTTTTTTAAAGGCTTCCTCATTTGGATGAAAGATTATTCATGTTTTTACAACAGATTGGTACACTGGTCAGTACAGAGTTCAAAGTAAATTGATGAGATTGGTTAAAACAAAGTAACTCTACTGGAAGAGATTACATTGAAATGACAACCTCTAACATGTAATTTGTACACATCCTAGCAAACACACTGATATCAATTTGGGCCAATGCTGTTTGAATGTTGGCATGCTGATATTGGGCCAACATTGTATTATCTTTTATAATATTATTTATATATTATATTCAGCAGTTCTGTCATATGTGCTGAGAGAGTATGCAGTGTGACCAAAGCATGCATTTTGACAATAAGCTTGGCCAATCAGCATATCAAGTTTTAGGGCATGGGTCAATTTGTAGGTTACGCAGAAGTACAGATACAGTAACACAGTGTTATAGAGGACAGATAAAACTAAATGAAACTAACAAGCATAAATATGTGATAAATAAATGTAAAAGACCTGGAATGAAATAAAACAAATATATACAAAAAGTACATCGGCCACATAACTATGACACCATGTGTCTTTCAGTGAACACACTGTTACCTCTGAGGCTGACACCTCAAGAGGTGGAGGGCAATCCAGAGTTTGTCAAGCTCCTCACAGGATTAACCAAGCACATCAATGAGCAAGGTGTTGGGCTACAAACACACAAGGACCTTGTGCAGGTTAGTCACCTTATGATAAGGGACTGGTCATTTATTATAGGGGAGGATGACCGGTGAGATTAGCCTCCGGGCTGCACCCCCCGCCCCCCACCCCCCACCCCCCACCTGATTTTATGTAACATTTTTTCATGTCCCCTCCGAATACATGTAACATTTTTTTCATGAACCCCCCCCCACACCCTTATGCTAAATGAGCATGTTGATAATGTTCAAATTTAATACAAAATATTATTTGAAATGACACACAAAAAAATCACTCCCTCTTTATATTTGTGCCAAATTCTTCAGTCCCCCACTCCTTGCTGTGTCATTTCATCATGACTTCCCCCTGAATCTCAACGCCCCCTTTGTCAGATAAAATACATACATTCTGGGTCAAATACTTTTGAGTCTTCTAGCACAAACATGTATGTTGGCATTATTTTCTGTAGGTTTGAGTCTTACCATATGGACGAGAATAAGCTGATCTTCCTAGACCAGAGGAAATGTTACTAGACTTGTAGACTGTACAAATCGATAGCAGGTCCATGGTTAAATTGGTTGCATGTTTGTATTTTATGAAGTCAAGCTCTGTGATCATGTGACAAACTTGACAGCTTTTCGTTCAGACTATCTTCATCTTGTCGATTTGACAACATCCATTCATTTTTCCAACTTGAAATACAGCATAAAATGTTTTTAAATTTGTTCCAAATTGCTCTAGATTGCATCATTTGCAGTCTAGATTTACACATTTCAAGGGGTGCATTCGCCTGTATTCTCCCAGAGGCCCGAATTGCACACTTTGGATGGTCTACCTTCCAAGGTTCTGGGGCTACCATAACATATTTCTTTACAGCCCAATGGGCTATAAGTGAATTTTTTGAGTGTCATACAATGTGCACATGATATTTGTTCCATGAAAAATACACAATCATCCAGCAAATAGATCCTTGTATATGGCGAAATAACATCCTCAAGTTTCCAGTGTGTTATGTTTCCATGCTCATATGATGTATGTCCTGGACTTATTGGCAACCATACCTTTGTTTGGAATGGCACAACAATAAAAATAGACCTCCAAGCAAATGAAACTAATCCAGGATGGTGACATAGTGGAACCTGTGTGTTGTAGGCCCAGGAATTGTTGAAACATGAGAAACACACTTGGCTTTTACACCACATCCTCCATCATGAAGTCCAGGAGCTTATTCTGGACTACGAGATCAAAAGTCAAGAGATGTCCCTCGCGGCAGAAGACAAGCAGGTAACTCAGATAGTTGGTGCTGGTGCCATTGGTGGTATCACCTACGGGTTATCATGGTTATTCTCAAAATAGCCGCATGGCAAGATGGTCAAAAACACATTGGTCAAAATGGCCACATTTTGAGTGTATATCCAATCAGTGTGGTCAATCAACACAGTGTCAAAGTATGTATTAAACAAACTCAGTGAAGAGTATTCACTGAACACAACACACAGGTTATTCTAAATCCTTTGGATTAGTAAAATAAATAAATAAAATTCTGTTTGATTAATTAAATAATTAGAGCAAACAAATAGAAACAAACACTATTTATGCTTCATATTTATACTTTTTCATGTGGCCATTTTGACTTTTGGTATGTAGCCATTTGACCTGTTCACATAATCTACTGATGAGTGGACAGTTGATTTGATATCACTGTCCTGATAAATTTCTACCTGATTAAAACAATAGCTATTGACAAGCAGGTCATTGTGAGACTTTCTGTGTAGCACATGATAAGTGTCAATCCGTCGTAGCAGTCGTTTGACGTTGTGATGGAAGGGTGGAATCACCAGAGTTGAATAAATGAGAGTAGTTGTGTTCACAATTAAACATGAAAGTCCTTTTCAAGATTGAAGATGTTTTTCCCCTGGATTCAAGTACTATGGCAGCAAACCTCAAGGACCCTGGGACCCCTTACTTGCGGACACTGAAGTGTGTCATTCTTTGCTGCATGTATAGCAGTGTGAATGTAGAGGGACACCAGTACTGGGCTCCATACATTGTAGTATGACAGTACCCACATGGATGTTCAAACCTGGGTGAAAGGGGGACAACATTTGGATTACTACTAGCAGTGTGCGAGCTTAGCCTCAATTTTGTAATTGATATCTTTTCCCGTAAAAACCAAGCCTCGTTCTCAAGTGCGACCTACAAACAGTAAATACAATTTGCTAGCAGATGACATATTCACTTTATAGTCTCTGTCAACTGGAGTTTTTAAACAGAGGTTTCTACTGAAACAACTTTTTTGTACTTTTATTAGCTTTCCATGTTACAAAATATATTCACTGGATATTAATGCTTTTCACCTGGATAATAAGGTTTGTTCATTTCATGATGAGGATCATCTTTTTTAAAATTGTCCCAACTGTATGCATACCTGACAAGGACGACATTGGCTACCATTATGATACGATGTCTTACATTTTTCTCAGGAGGAATGCCATTATTTTTTCATTTGTTTCTATTTTTTCTGACTTGTTGGATGTCATAAATGCACATATATTCACAAGATGCAAAATTCTACTAGCGTTTCAACTTCTATATAATATTAATGCATACACAAGCCTTATTGGTATAAATGTACTCTTGATATTTTCCACTTGAACATTCATTAGTTATAGAGGTGCCAGAATTCCAATATGTTCATACCTTACTTGACAAATCTCCAGTGGTGTCACTTGGAAGTCGCATCATGATAAATAGTTAGTAAGAGACTGGTATTCCAAGTGAGTTCCAAGAAAATAACAGTTGAAACACACAATTTAGCCATGACCGAGCATAAAAATGCAATAGCCAAGGTATAATCCAAAAGTAATCGTCCACCACAACAGTAAAAGTAGTATACTGCTACAGCAGACGATAGGTTTGAGCCAATCATTTTACTGATAGAGGTCACGTGACTAAAATCTTGACTACTTCCGGTGGTGTGAAGGGTTACTTTCCCTAATTAAAACTAACAAACCAATACATATTTGAGATTTAAGTTCTGATTTATTTAAGTGCAAATGTCTGTTCAGTGTGATAACACTGACAAACTATGTCCAGACAGCTTAAGACAGAAAGAACCAAATGTCAAACACCACAACCTGTAAACCATCAGTTTAGACCCCTGACACACAAATTAGTCCCTCAATGACATATCAGTCAACTCAAATTTAAACAAACGGTGTTAAACTGCCCTAAAGTAACATATCTGTCACTAGAATGTGATGCTATCAGAAAGATGCCAGATGTATTTATGTTTCTGGCCGCTCTGTGTGGGACTTCTTGGTCACTTCGAGGGGGAAACTGGGGACTGTCTTTTATCCAATTAAAAACATGTTTACATTTGTAGCTCCTCCTGTTTTAAGTTGGATATAGTAAGCTTAGTGATCAGTGATTGCAGGAAACATAGGAATTGGCCCCTCCTCCCTTTAAGATAGATGGAACCCATATTTTTGTGAATGACTTCTACCCTGTGAGAGAATATTTTGCGGTCACGTGACTTCAATAAACATGTTCTCACAGCCTCTACAGTGCATGGATGGGTTATATTTAGGTATTATTTTGGTAAATTGACATATGTGGAAATGGGAAATATATGAAAACATTACATGTACATATAGGATTTGTAATAAAAGGTTTATATGAGGTAGGTGTAGAGCCCAGGATTTTTCACTTCCTGTGACAGGGGCTGTGACGTCACTATGGGGCCTTTAGCATTGAATCTATTTATAACCTGTGTGAAAGCGAGGCTTGGTTTTCATCTATAAGCGGTAACATAGGCTGAGCTCGCACACTGTAGGGTGTCCCAGTCGAACAGTATTTAGAATAAGTACACCTGCAAGCTTGGGTCACATGAAATGCCAAAAATAGAGAGTTGATTGTGCCTTATTTGGATGTAGATTTGGTTGAAACAAATGTCGTTTTAACACCAGAATGAACAATATACCATCTATATTAACATGTATGTCAGGCTTGAACAAACGAAACCAGTGATTGATATCATGAGTAAAGCCCTGGGGTATAGTGACACATCATCAACCAAGTCACCAAGCCTAAACACCCTTTCCATTTAGTCTGACAACAAGCCTGTCTAACCCAGAATCCCCACATGATGGAAGTTAATTACGACAATATTTGGTCATGGCTCAAGGCCAACAAGCCCCCGCTTGGACTAACATAAACATACATGCCTGTTTACAAGTCTGATTAATGAGATATCCCCTTATCAACAGTTCTTGGTGATTCTCCGAAACTGTCTGACATACAGCGAGATTGGGGACTACTTGGACTTCAGCCCTGATCCGACATCCAAAGCAACTTTACTTGGCCTCAAACAGGAGGATGTCAACAGACACAATGCATATAGAAAGGTAACTTCATTAACAGTGCAATCAAGAAACACCAGTGTTACTGTGTAGTCATAGTAACAATGCCTCACTTTCTTTGCTTACTTGTACATACAGTTCAAGTGAGCTAAAGTCGTCTGTCATTATTTTCATCATCTTCTCAGAAACAACATAGCATGTGAAGCAATACTTAGTGAGGATGGTCCCAGCTATGCTGTCACTAATTTGGTCTAAATAAGCTTACAGGATTGTGATCTGTGTTTTAACATGGCCGCAACGGCAGCCATATTGAAAATGTCAAGCTTGCCCTTTACTCGGCCGTTTCTGCATTTATCTTTATGAAATAGTCGTGCTGTTTTGGTGAACATAAACTTGTGTTACTTACTTTTGTAAATTCTTTTGTATCTTTTTATTTTGACCTTTATAGATCATAAAGTAGAGACAATTTATGGATAACAACTTCTTTATTTTACTGTAATGGCGACATTTCGGTATAGATTCTTATACCTTTGTCAGGCTAGGTTGAATAATGAACATGGTACAGAATATATATGGTAGGTGGAGGATTAACAGTTACAACAATTGTATACATGAGAGAGATTAACAATAGGAGGATAATAAAACAACGTGTTGGACAGAGAACACAAGATGAAGAAACCAAATAAGACAGGTAGCCAAGTTAACAGGATTCAGTGTACATAGGTGGGGTGATTACTGCTTAATGAGTTCATAGTAGGCGGATGGGATGAAATAGCCTTGATCTCTGTTGATTGATGGCTTGTGGCGGCAAATGTGGACTGCTTCTGTTAGTTTTCTCTTAGTGAAGTTATGGAGGTTGTTGGAGAGGATTTGGACATTTTCCGAGTTGATGTGATAAGGGCAGTTGCTTGATTTTTTGCTCTTTGCTTCTGGTTGTCTAAGGTGCCGCGATTCACTGTGCAGAGTTGTGTCCCTTGGGCATGCCAGAATCCCGGTTTGCCCCGATTATGTTTCTAGGTTTGTCAGCACCATACCCGTGCTCTTTGGTTTCACCGAAGTGGTAAACGTCTGAGACCTGCATCACTTCGGGCTTTCCTCCCACATTAAGCGGACACGCCATGATATAACTGGAATACTGTTAAAAGCGGCTTTAAAACCCAACTCACCCACTCACTCACTCTAGTTGGCCATCCATAAACACACAAAAAAGTAACAATACAGTGCAAATGCTATGTCAATACTATGATAGAATTAATTATTACTAAGATTTGTGTCAAAACAAGTGAAAATTAAGATGTTTTATTGTGCATATGGTGTGAATTATTCTACATGTGCTAGTTTACAGGAAACTTATTGTTATGAAAAGCTGAAAAATGTATAGAATGTGAAGTAAGACATTTCATGCAATATTATTCTATCAATTGATCATTTATTGAAAATCTCTTTTCACTGGCAGCATATTTCATCAGTGCAGCAAAAGCTGATTCCAGAAATTGAAGCTCGATTACAAAAGAAATGTGAAAATCTTGTCACTTTTTACCAACCACCGAAACTATCAGGTAAGTTATAAGAGGGAAGTGTAATTTGATAGCCAGGTGTTTAGATGATAGAAACTAAACTGAGATCATACAGGGATAATTCTAGGGTGGGGCCTTGTGCTTTTTGCCCCTACATTTGAAAGGGCCCATGTCAGAAACTTTCTAGAGTGAACCCTGCATAATACACAAACAATGAACGGAGTACAGTACTGAATCAGAGCCAGTCGATGTGAGATTCCACCCAACAAATGTTAACAGAATTATTATTGCAAAGGGGGGTAACTCTGATTTCATGGATTGACTTTTACCACTACAGTCCGTTTGACTCCAAATGAGAACGATGAATTGCAAAATAACTCAAAATCCAGAAAAGTGTATGAAACATCAATACCGTACTTGTCCATGAATACCCTGTACCCAACAAAATCTGAATTTTGTTTATTTTAAGACCCATGACGGATGAAGTTCTTTAAGAAACTATCATGTAATTTTGTATAGAAATGTGTACATGACACGTAGGGGGGACAAACCGTGGAAGGAACAGTGCAAGCACAGTCTGCACGTGCTACACAGTGACCGTGTTCATTCAATGACAAGATGCGCTACTCAGCAGATGTTTTAACAGTTGATGTTGAATGTGTATGATTTCTTTAGAAGTGAAGCAGAAAGAGCAAAGCCTTTTTTATGCAATTAATAAATTCTTGAAACGAGCTTCAAAAGATCTTGGTATGTCCCCTCAGAAACTTAAAAATGTTGTTAGTCGACGAGATACAAATAGTCATGCCAAGGAGGTAGGGAACATGTCAAAACCACGCAAGGTTGATAAATTAGACAGTTTTCAGAGGGATCAAGTCAGACGTGCAATTGTTAAACTGCACTCAGAAAATAAGTACCTGTCCCTAAGAATTTTGAAGAAACACCTTGAAACTGACCATGATTTACGTGTTACAAAGTACAAACTATGGCAGCTGTTGCATACATTTGGTTACAAATACAAAAAGATAACTGGAGAAAATAGGGCTGTGTTGTGTGAATGGTCTGACATTGTTCGTCTCCGAAATCATTACCTTCGTACCATCAAGCAGAAACGTGAAGAAGGATATGAGCCCGTCTTCTTAGATGAGACATGGGTAAATGCGTCACACAGTCAGTGGGTACCCAGTGGTGACTGTAAGGAGTCTGGTAGAAAGTTACCAATGGGAAAGGGTGAAAGACTCATAGTTCTCCATGCTGGTTCTGCTAGTCAGGGTTTTCTCCCAGACTGTGACCTCGTCTTTAGAGCCAAGGCCAAAGACAACAGGGACTACCACACAGAAATGAACGGCAATGTATTTCTGGAGTGGGTGAAAGATAAATTAGTCCCTGCTTTGCCTACCAAGTCTCTCATTGTCATGGACAATGCACCGTATCATAGTGTGCAGGATCCAGAAAGCAAGACTCCAACCTCTAATAACCGTAAAGGAGACATGGTTACTTGGCTGCAACGGAGGAACATTACCTTTTCTTCTCGAGCGACGAAACCACAGCTCTATGAAATCATCAAAACTATGAAACCTCAAGGGTCAGAGTCACGCTGTCTTACGACTGCCACCTTATCACTGCGACCTGAATCCAATCGAGTTGGTATGGGGCATCGTCAAGGGTGACGTTGGACGATCGAACACAACGTTCAAATTAGGAAATAAAGGAATCCCTTGGTCAGGTAACAGTAGAAAAATGGAGGCGTTGTGTGGCCACAGTCATTGACGAGATAGAGCCACGTTATTGGTCACGAGATGGACTACAACGACGAGATCTATGGCATGAGTGAGTCAGATTGCGACTGAAATTATCATTAGACGGCCCCTCTAACGCTCTGTTATTTCCCCTACCACAGAAAGTGCAGTGCATGCGTGCTTGCGCTGTGCCTTCCACGGTTTGTCCCCCCTACGTGTCATGTACACATTTCTATACAAAATTACACGATAGTTTCTTAAAGAACTTCATCCGTCATGGGTCTTAAAATAAACAAAATTCAGATTTTGTTGGGTACAGGGTATTCATGGTCAAGTACCGTATTGATGTTTCATACACTTTTCTGGATTTTGAGTTATTTTACAATTCATCGTTCTCATTTGGAGTCAAACGGACTGTAGTTTGTCTGGCCCACATGTGATTATTTACAGGACACTTCAGGGCTCCAATTGCGTTGATCGATGCTGATGTCAATCACTGGATTGTCTGGTCCATCTTGATTATTTACAGACCCCCATCGTACAGCTGGAATATTGCTGAATGTGGCATTAAACAAACAAAGAAGGAACGCTAAATTGTGGAATGCAAGATATGAATTTTCATTCTTTCATAACATTTTATAATCCTGCATACTCAATGGTCAAATATACATTAGACCATGATCTATCTTATGACTGCATTACCGTGAAAGAAAACATTTAACTTCTTTCGCTCTTTTGACAATTTCAATTACTGACCTTACTTCTTTAGTGTTGCTAAATAATGTGTTGTGGTTCCCACAAGTTTGGCAAGTGTGGCAATATATTTCAGGCAGAAAACTTGACGAACTTATGCTTAGAGAATGTATCATAAAAGTCAGTAACCTCAACGCAGCTTGACTTTTGGTGCTACTCTATTGCATACTGTGACATTATGTCTTCTACAACACAGTATGTAGACTTCCCATCCGTAGAACTTATGATGTCATAACTGTGGTGCATACTTTAGATCAAAACTGACTTTAATAATAACTTGCCTGCTGCTATTTCTACTAGCCACATGCCAAAGGCTCAGCCGTTACAGATGACCACTATGATGTGATGTAGGTACAAAATTGCTGCTGACACATCCTGCTAAGAATTATACCGTATTTTCTTAAGTATAGTTTGCACCCATGTATAATGCACACCCCCCTCTAGCAGATTCAATATTTTGGAGAAAAAAAAATCGAATACCAAGTGCAGAATTTTTTTTACACCGTACCCCTTTAGCGAAGTCAGGCAAACGAACAGGTGATGAGAAACTTTGTCAGTACACATTCGAAATTTGAGAGAAAAAATCACCAGACATGTTGATTTACCGTTTAAATTGTATTTTTTGTTCCTATAGGCATTGTTTTATATCCAGGGATTAAGATTACCTTGTGTATTTTCCCCTAAACTAAGCCGGACACAGCAATCAGCTATACACACGTTTTCTTGGAATCTTCCGGTGATTCGGTCAAGACACACCCAATGATATAACTTTACAGGATTTTAATGCAAGGATCGGCAAAAATTGTATCTGAAACTTTTTTTAACAGGAATAATATATTCCAATATCTTGTTGATTTAGATGCAACTTTTACTAAACATATTTAAAATAATAATAACCCTAAGCGAAGCAGCTGATCGCTATTGCCGGGTATTATTTTTTACATGGAACCAGTCTGACCAGTCACCGTCAAGGCTCCCGTGCACGTGATCACGTGATCGCAAGAATAACGTGTTGACATAGAATTGTCCAACAAAAACAAATATGACTTTAAACGAGTCACAGTATGGCATTTATGATATATGTATCCATTCTCTGTCACCAAAATTTCGTTTCATGGCGTCAATAACAGTAATCTGACCGTGGTTGCTGTTAATAATGGTGAGTTGTGCAATATTCCGATCGCTTCACACACGATTTCGCCGAAATTAATTAAAACAATATTAAAAGGAATTTTGAATAAAATTAATAAAATAAATAAAATAAGTTACAAACATAAGTCCAGATATACAAAGAGCACTTTTTACAGGCAGACAGTTTAATTACATGACTAATTTGCTGGATTTGTTGACATGGCATTTCCTGTGTTACGCGCTCCGGTAATGTCTTTCCATGGGCGAAAAAAACATCAAAACTCATTAATTCGTGTATAATGCGCACCCCCTTCTACACAGCTGTGTTTTTTGGAGAAAAAAAGTGCGCACTATACTCAAGAAAATACGGTAGGTCCAATAGCAGGGGAACTAGTGGTTGATGGCGTGAGCATCCACAGTGTCAGAGTATGATGGTACACTAAGTCAGTAAGGTCTTCAGCAACCCATGCTTGCCGTAAAAGGCGACTATGCTTGCCGTAAGAGGCGACTAACGGGATCTGGTTGTCAGGCTCATCGACTTGGTTGAGTGAGTGAGTGAGTGAGTATGGTTTTACGCTGCTTTTAGCAATATTCCAGCAATATCACGGCGGGGGACACCAGAAATGGGCTTCACACATTGTACCCATGTCGGGAATCGAACCCGAACGCTTTAACCACTAGGCTACCCGATCGCCCCTCGACTTGGTTGAAGCATGCAGGGTTCGCCCTGTCGCAGAAAACCTGCGTATTTGACGCATAAATAATTGAAAATACGCTAAAAATATTTACTACTGCGTCAGTGTTGACGCAATGAAACAGCCATTACAATTAGTAAACTGGGACCTTTCCGTTTGTCAGAAAGAATATACAGTGATCCCTCGTTACAACGCTACCTTCGGGGTCCAAATAATTGATGAGCGTTATAGATGATCAGCGGTTAACTCTTTCAACACCGTAGGCCGGTTTTCGGCCAAGAAACATGAGTCCCCAGAGACCGTAAGCGGGTTAACCGGCCAAGCCGTAGTCACGTCGAAATAGTATATATTTTTATGGACCTACCTGTAATATCATTCATTTATTAAATCTATCACATTTCACAATGTCTGAAATACGTATTCCATTTCAATTTATAATTTTTTATCGATAAATTAAAAAATATTCACTATTTCCCCGCGATGTTGTTGAAAATAAAATTCTCGGACACACATTTCGACAACGGGTCCACATCGAACATGTCAAAGAGCAAAATAAAGGGGTGTTAAACAAATCTTTAAATATATTATACAAAGTAATAAATAAAATCAACAAAAATATATCTAAAAGTAATCAAGCTTACATCTAAGTTATTATTTCCATCTTTTTGTGCGATCGCGTGTAATATAAGACATCTCAGCTTTCGTCGCCTTGAATTCTCGGCTCGGACACGATGTTTAATGCAAAAATATATGCGTGAAAAATCTTTGTCAAAGCTCGTAACCTAGCACGATACATTCACGAAGTTCCATATTTTTAATATGTATCGTGATTTCCTGCTTAAAACGTTCAGAATAACGATTTAACAAAAACCTTTCGCCAACTTCTGAAATTTATCAAACACGAGCTTGGTATCACAGCTGTAATTTGATTGGCTGCCTTAGGTCACGTGCTCAAAATTGACCAATCGCGAAACTTGTAGCAGATTTCGGCAAGAAAGCGTCATTGGAAATCAATTTTATTCCAATGAAATCACTTGTTATAACTACGAAAAAAACCAGCCGATGTTACGAGCGTGTAGATAAAGGAATAAGCTTTCTAGCGATGTGTCATTTGCCATTCTTCGACGAACGTGTTATTCATACGAAGCCTCGAAAATGGGGGTATTTCTTCTTGTTACTGAGCGGACAGCCGCTGTTATCGGGAAATGGGTATAATTCTTTTTAAAATGATTTTCCAATTACGTAAACAATGAAAATAAAACAGAAATAGGTAAGTGGATTTTATGAAATCTTATATTTGCCGAAAATCGTCAAGTTTTCGCTTCCTTGGTCCTTAATCTGGATGTTAACAACGTATTAGCTTACATTTTTTTATTTACAACGAACTTAATTAAGTTGTAAGTGCATTATTTTATATAATGTGAAAAACATAACTTTCATATTTATAAACCATAGGATCAGACCTTTCAAATGGTGTATAACATGTAGTGGCAAATATATTTTACAAGCAGGTATTTTCTTTGATAAATGTTGGCTTCATCTATCACACAAGAGTCTCTGGGAACTCGGTGTCCCAGCAGTAAACACTTCTGTTTGACTGGTGTTGAAAGAGTTAACGAAGGTCGAGTCGCAGGTGGTAGACGACCAACACAACAGTATACATGCTCTGCCTAGTACCTATCACGATCTACGTTGCACTTTTCACAGTTTCCAAAAAGATTAGAATAGAAGTTATTTATGATTCATAGTGTAAAAAAAGATTTATCGAGTATTAGGCCCAATATACTTGACTTTGTGAATCAAAGATATTTATGTTACAGTTAAAATAATGAAGAATATAAAAAGTTAAAATCTTACCTTGTTTATGTTTACTTAATTTTTCATCCTGATAGCGAGATTCTGAGATTAGTTAATATGACTCCCAAAAATTGATGAATGACTCCTAATCTGAAAAGTTGGGGGTCATAATGACTCCCAATTTTTAATGTCTAGGGCAAACCCTGGCATGTCATCAATCCCAATTGCGTGGATCGATGCTCATGATGTCAATCACTGGATTGTCTGGTCCAGACCATATTGCTAAGTGCAGCGTTAAACAACAAACAAACAGTCATGTCACAGCTGTAATCAGCTGTAGGTCCGCAGTGGTCATCTCCTTGAATATCGTCATGGCAACAATGAGAGCCTTGGAACCTTTTTGTTTTTTTCTATGTGTAAGTTGTTCTATTTCTTAAAAGTATGTACTTTCTGTTTTGGCATAACAGCTTCAGCATATTTTGTACACCGTAATAGTAATAATAACATCAATAGCTATAATGTGAAAATGAAACTTACCATATGCATAAAATCCTACAATGAGTTATCTCCCTTGGAACATGTTCTATCTCCCCATGTCCCCATAAAAGTCCAGTTTCCACCCTTGCCAAACTAGGCTGGAATTTCTGAGCTGGATCATCGCGCCACTGGTGGCTGTTATGAGTTAGGCTAAATAAATTGATAGTCTTGGGTCTCAGGCACCTCCTAAAGATCATAAAGTTTGCAGCACGTTTCGTTTTTATTTCCATTTTTAATAAAATATATTAAATCCTTAAATATTCCAAGTCCAAGGGTAGTTAAATACTGTATTCCAGTATTTTATTCATCAAGGAATACTTTTATGCAGGCCTTTACCAGGTTGACTGTACACAACTGTTTATTTGGTTGCACAACTGTTTATTTGGTTACATACAAGTTTGAACAAAAAAAACCAAAAAACAAAAAGACACCGCCCGCCTGCACTATATTTTCAAAAGCTATTGCCTGAGAACCAATTCTTTTATTTTTTTAAGCCCATGTGCCTTCTATGTCCCTCTTATTGACCAATCAGATTCCACCTTCATATCAAACATAATGGCGGCACCCAGTCAGGACAATCTGATCGATAATCAAGGTCTATAACGTAATACTTCGAGGCACCTTGAATAAGAAAATAAAAAGATTTGGAAACTATCTGTTGACGCCGTGTTGGTGATACAAGTGCTTTGCAAATCCTGCTATCGATTGAAATCTGTATGGCAGTTTACGAACCTGATGTCGACTTCATTACACAATTTTGATTGGACTATGCATAGACTTGCTAGTCGAGCCAAAATATCCCTCCATAATTCCAGCCTAGTTCGGCAAGGGTGGAAACTGGACTTTAACAGTCAGTTAACTCCCTTGCCTCGGGAGGATGGAGATAGATCCGAATGTAGTGGTGATATTACTTCTGAAACGAAGCTATATGGAGGCAGATGGGTCCAGGGTATTTATGACAAGGGAATGGACATATAATATAATACCCTGGATAATTGAGGATGGAGCCATCTGAGAAGATAAACACTAGTGATAAACAAGAAGTTCTGTTTCCGACAATTGTCCAATACATTACGACTATTTTGATCATTAACATGATAAATATCACCTTTTGATGATAGTCCGGTTGCGTTGAACATCTAGATTTAGGGAAGTAATTATGTGTATTGCAGACAGCACCCGTCTCACTTTGTCCAAGGCAGTGCAGTTACCTGGAGAGATTGAGACCAACAAACATCGGCTCAGTGAAGATAAGAAACAGGTGCAGGTGATCCGTCAAAAAAGAGACAAGCAGTTTTGGCTGTACTACCAGGTAGGGCTGCTATATTACCCTCTTGTACTACCAGGTAGGGCTGCTATATTACCCTCTTGTACAGTACTACCAGGTAGGGCTGCTATATTACCCTCTTGTACTACCAGGTAGGGCTGCTATATTACCCTCTTGTACTACCAGGTAGGGCTGCTATATTACCCTCTTGTACAGTACTACCAGGTAGGGCTGCTATATTACCCTCTTGTACTACCAGGTAGGGCTGCTATATTACCCTCTTGTACTACCAGGTAGGGCTGTTATTTAAATCTCTTGTACTACCAGATAGGGCTGCTATATTACCCTCTTGTACTACCAGGTAGGGCTGCTATAATACCTTCTTGTACTACCAGGAAGGGCTGCTATATTACCCTCTTGTACTACCAGGTAGGGCTGCTATATTACCCTCTTGTACTACCAGGTAGGGGTGCTATATTACCCTCTTATACAACCAGGTAGGGGTGCTATATTACCCTCTTGTACTACCAGGTAGGGGTGCTATATTACCCTCTTGTACTACCAGGTAGGGGTGCTATATTACCCTCTTGTACTACCAGGTAGGGGTGCTATATTACCCTCTTGTACTACCAGGTAGGGGTGCTATATTACCCTCTTGTACTACCAGGTAGGGGTGCTATATTACCCTCTTGTACTACCAGGTAGGGCTGCTATATTACCCTCTTGTACTACCAGGTAGGGGTGCTATATTACCCTCTTGTACTACCAGGTAGGGCTGCTATATTACCCTCTTGTACTACCAGGTAGGGGTGCTATATTACCCTCTTGTACTACCAGGTAGGGCTGCTATATTACCCTCTTGTACTACCAGGTAGGGCTGCTATATTACCCTCTTGTACTACCAGGTAGGGCTGCTATGTTACCCTCTTGTACTACCAGGTAGGGCTGCTATATTACCTTCTTCTACTACCAGGTAGGGCTGTTATTTGACCCTCTAAGAACTACAAGGCAGATTCTCCTGTAATCTATTCCAGACACTGCTAGACTGGTTGTCAGTTTTTCCAGAAGTTGTTAAAGAACAACACATTAGGTTCTCCTGTCATCTATTTCAGACTCTGCTGGACTTGCTGTCAGTTTTGGAAAAGGTGTTGAAGGACCACAAGTTAGATCGGCAGGTGGAGTCTGACCTGGTCACAAGTGAATGGCTCATTGCCAGGTGTGATGCCATGTGTCTCAAAATAAAGTAAGTCTGTTATTAACAGTTTGGAAACCATTGCGTCAAGGATGACTGTATTTATATTTCTTGTTTCATTTTCCAAATAAATTTTCCTGTTTTTTCATTTTCTTGAGATTATATATACAGTTGTCCCTCATGATTTGCTGATCTTGGGGATTCCCCATGTTATTCCTAGTATGGAATTAGGTCAGGTGATACCCTATGTTTGTGTGTATAGTGCCCACTTGAGTATAATTGTTATTTCGTGTATTGTGCTTAAAAGAAACTAGTCCTCAGTGTCATGTCCTCAGCAGGTGTGGAAGTTGTGTAGCCTAGTGGTTAGAGCATTTGCTCATCAGACTCAAGACACAGGTTCAAGTCCCCACATGTGTACAGTCCATTCTTGGTGTACCCAGCCAGTGTTCTTGAATATTGAAACAACAACAGTGCAAGAACATTCCCTAAATGTCACAAAAGGAAAAAAATTGAAAGTAAATGCAGTGTCTTTGGATTTTTGTTGTTTTGTGTTTTTTGTAATTTTTTCGGAAATTAACCTTCTGCCATGACAACAACATGATATTATGAACAGGCCAAAATGATGAATGTTTTACTTATCCTGTATTACTCCTGGGAGCTGTGAGAGGTCCAGCTGCAGAAGAAGCTGTTCCAACCAGTAGTGTAGCAATACCCTCACACAGCTGCCAGGTGACCTGGAAGTCACATTAGAGCACATTACTGCTTTGTCAGTCAACACAGACAGACGTGTTTCTGAGAATAAAGCCTCTGCAGTTTTCCAGCATCCTTTTCTTATTTTTTCATCGTTTACTCTTGCGGTTGAGTTGTTGTTTATGATTTGTGTCTTTTTGGTCTTATACATACATAATTTGTACTCTATGTCCGCTTGTTTATGGCCCTCAGTCACAGTAATTGTGGGCATCTTGTTCCAATCCACCATTTTGAATTATTTTTTTCTCTCTCTTTCTCTCCTCTAAACCAGTGAGTTTGTTTTAAAGTTATAAATTACTTTCAATTTCCAGTTATGTGTTAGCACGTTTTGTGAATATGACAGATAAATTACAGATTTAGGCATGGTTGTATTGTTTGTCACGGAAGCAAGTCAGGCAGGGATCCTCACCCTCTGTCTTGATTGCACAGACCCCTGTCGACATCTTCAAAGGACTCCTCTTTCGACTTGAGGGCTGCTGGGAAACGACGTACTCAGAATGCCCACAGACACCCTATGATGTCTCTTTCTCCCCCCCCCCTCCCCCCCCACACTCTCTTTCTCTCCCCCCCCCCCCCCCCCCCCCCCCCAAAACACACACACACACACACTCTCTCTCTCTCTTTCCCCCCACCCCGATGTCTACTTTGACAGCGCCGGTGCCATCGCTGTTCAACCCTCACATTACAACTGCGCCATCTGGCTATGGACACTTCCATGAAACTACCTGCTCATCAGCAGATGCCTTATCAAGCGCATATCCTGCCTGCCTCAGCAGCTCTGGCTGAGATTACCACCACCCGGCGCCTTGGCTGTCTTGCGGATTCTGAATTCAAGAAGAAACTTCTCACTCAACCCTGGTCAAGTTCTGCCTTGTTTAACGGTGCCATCACTGACACTCACGCTTGACTTCCAAGTCTTCCAAGGGGAATTATCATTCTTGCCGGAGCTCCCTCAGGGACCACTCTCAGTCTTCCTCCAACTTTTGGGGCAGAGGACCAGCCTCACTGGATCGACACTAAGGCAGGGGTGCCGATCAGAAGGGCAAGTGTTGAACTGATCGACAACAACCAGAATCAACGCCAACTATTCCCTGATCAGCCTTGACATCCAGGATGCGTATCTACATGTGCCAATCCACCGACAGGCGGTTTCTCAGGGTCTTCTTCAATGGTATCCATTCCCAGTGGTAATCCTACCATTTGGATTTTCCACAGCCCCGTGGCTTTTTATACAGATCACCAAGCCAGTGGCCGCCTGCTTGCACCTGATGTACAGCAACTTCAAGTCTTACATAGACGATTGTCTCCTGAACCATCAAGACTCATCTGCCACAAGGAATTTTACTCATCTTCTCTTCCATCAGCTGGGATGGATTGTCAACAAGACCAAGTCAGTGCTCACCCTATCCTTCCGTTTTCAGTTTATTGGAGGCGTATTTCTCACCAACCAGGACCTCTTACAGGTTGCTGAAGATCCTCCACCACTTATTCCCAGCTCTTCAACAAGCCTGGACACTCTGCCAGTGGCAAGTGCTGCTATGGTTTACTCACTTTTTGCGCAAGACCTGACTTCCAGGGGAAATCTCCAGGTACGTTCAATCCAGTTCCTTGCCCCCTTCATCAGGTGCCAGATCCCCGGTTCGCCCGCAACCTTACCTTCATCTCTGGCACAGCAACAATCTAGAACTGGAAGCGCTCATTCTGGCAGTCACGCATTGCAGGCCATTCTTCAAAACGCCCAGTTTACAATATCCGGACATCACCTTGGTGTGGTGTCGTCGAAATCAGGGGACTCTCCACTCCTCTCTGCTGTCAGAGACGTTCCGCCTCTTCCTCACTGCTAGACCGTCTAGAACTGAGCTTCCTAGTTCAACACATTCCAGGGTGCCGGAACCTGCTAGTGGATGTGCTGTCCAGACCGGACAAGATGGCTCCCTCGGAACGGAAGTTGCATCCCATTACAACCCTCACGAAATTAGTGCAGTTTTCAACTTTGGCTCTCCATAGCAACTGCTCTGTCAAGTCTATTATGTTTTCGGCCCTCCGATACTGTCCTTGCCAGCCATCATCTACGAGACATTACCTTAGAGGATGCTGCTAGCGTCCATAGTTTCGGTCCCTTCATGGTGGCTCAACAAGTCATCAACCCCAGACGTCATTGATTCTCTCAGACCCGCAAGCTGGCCCAGAGAACTCTCTGTTTTTTAACACCCCAGATTAGAGGGAACACATGCTGTGCGCATTACCTTGGTAGGTCAGTTTTAGATTCTGGCTCACGCTTTTTTCTATTACTGTTCCTTTACCTGGTCTTCCCGTTTTCCTTCCGACAGGAATGGTCATTGTTTTCCGGTCATCGCTCAGGGTGCTGTACTGTTACTTGGACCTTGACAAGGATTTATTTCGAATCTCATCTGAAGGTATGCCCACCATCCTACCGTCTGATAAAGATGTATTCAGGAGTAAGGCAGGATAAGTTTAAAAAATGAGTATAATCTAAATATTTTTTACATTTGTATACTTATGCGGAATTACTTTGTCTAAACTGGGCTCCCGCCTCAGTGCTACCTCCCCACGAAGTCTTCAGATGTTATGTTTAAAGCAGTAATGTGCTCTTATGTGACGTCACCACTTCCGGGTCACATGACCGCTGTGTGAGGGTACTGCTACACTACTGGTGGGAATAACTTCTATTTCAGCTGGACCTCTCACAGCTTTCTGTCAGAAAACAGCTGTAAATGTAAAAAATATTTAGATTTTACTTAATTTGAAGCTTGTGTGTTTCTATGCTTGAATGCCTGTGTTTTTGTTTCAGATTAGTTCAACTCCAGATTATGTGTGACACCTACACAGCTGAGACGGTGCAGGCTCTAGATGTGGTCAGGTAGGACCTTGGTTGACTCATGCTCAACAGCAAGAGTAACTTATCATGTTTCTGTATATCATCAAACTCAAAACGGGTGGACTTAACAACAAAACTGAGGTCACAGTGCACGCATAACACGCATATTCCTGCACTCTGAAAATCTTGGGGGCGGTCGGGTAGCCTTGTGGTTAAAGCTTTCGCTCGCCATGCAGAAGACCCAGGTTCTATTCACAATGTGTGTAGCCAATTTCTGGTGTCCCCCGTCCATGATATTGCTGAAACCTTGCTAAAAAAAAGCGACGAAAATCATACTCTCACTCACTCACTCACTCACTCACTCACTCACTCACTCACTCACTCACTCACTCACTCACTCACTCACTCACTCACTCACTCACTCACTCAAATTCCATATGCATGGTTTCATGGTGATTTATGAGCAAATAAAGATGTACGCAAAATGGCTGTCGGTTGTCCACAACTACAACTCCCTGAATATTTTCTCATTCACGAGTAATGTCCACTTAAATATTTATACATTTTAAATTGTGAATTGAATGTGTCTCGAAAAGAATGCGACCACTGGCCCCTAGCCAAAAATGCGACTCAGTATGAATGCAACACCCCTTCCTCTCAAGCATCAGTGAATGTATATCTTAAGAAAATGTAAGGTTTACAGGAGAATCCTCACCTTAATCCAACCTTACATCATCCAATCACACACCAAATAGCACCGCTTATTGGCGCTGTGTAGAAAATTATCCAATCTCACACTATGCATACCTTCCTTCTTCTTTTGCTCCTGGGGCGGTCGGGTAGCCTAGTGGTTAAAGATTTCACTCTACATGCTGAAGACGCGGGTTCGATTCTCGACATGGGTACAATGTGTGAAGCCCTTTTCTGGTGATATCGCTGCAATATTGCTAAAAGCGGCGTAAAACAATACACGCTTGCTTGCTCGCTCGCTCAATCACTCACTCACTCACTCACTCACTCACTCACTCGATCCTATGTGGACTGACAGTAACAGAGAAGGGGACGTCCGGCTTGGAGGATTTCTTAGGCTTCTTGGCAGACGACAGTTTAGGCTTGTCCGAGCCTCGTGACTTAGAGTAGAGCACCGGTCAATCTCCTTCCTGTTACACTTGTGTAGACAGACATTAAAGGACTCTTCTGTGAGGTGTTCACATTCTGAGCAGCATTTGTGCCAACTATACCAGCCACGGCAATCACAACAAGGTTTGTGAGGTTACAGAGTTTGAAAAATTACGGCGACATTTCCGACAGGCCGGATGAACAGAGCTGTCCTTGTCCATTATCCCTCAGATTATGTACGTAATCTAGAGGATGTTGAATGGAATACAGTAATAACAAAAAACAACTAGATTCTCTCAAATCTCAGTGCATGTCTCCACAATAAGACGATGAGAATGAGAATGATGTGGCAGAGGCAATCACATGATCGTATCGTGTAGGTCACTATGCATGGGATTATACTGGGTGACACATTTCTTTTTTAGAAGCTGAAAACTTTGTTCTAGCACATTTCCATATAGGATCGAAAGAAGAAATGCATATTGTAACTGTAAGATAGGATAAGTATTATAAATATACAATTTATTCTAAAATTGACAGTATTGCTTCAACTGATGAATCAGTTATGGGTATTGCTAAAATAGGCATGTGTAGAAAGATGACGCTCAGTTCTCAACCAATCTGGGTTATATTTGAGATCGGAATAACAGCTGGGTCATATGGACTGAGACACAACTAGCTCGGGAGATAAAATATTAGCCCTCGTAAGTTCCAGTTCAAAGTAGCATTCCACTTGAAGATACTTGACGTCTGCTTGTCTGTAGTCAGAGCGTTTGGCTTTTTCTGATTAAATCTAACTTTAAAATTGTAAGAGCAAGGGGGTTAGTGTGCATTCTAATTAATTCTTATTCTATCTTTTTAGCAAATGGGTAAAAGTAAGTAATATGTTATCAGGTACTTCCTCAGTTTCTAATATGCAGCAGTGACATGCCATTGTGACATCGTACAAGCCCATCACAAGACAAGGTTACCATGCTGTGACATCAGCGTTTAATTAAGGAACATTGTGGCACTACTCTCATTCACGTTTGCTTTAATACAAGGCAGTTGGGTAGCTTAATGGTTAAACCAGTTTCAATTTCCAGCATGTGTGAAGGCCATTTCTGGTGTCCCCAGCCGTGATACTGCTGGAACATAAAATGCTGGAATATTGCTCTAAGCAGCATAAAACCATACTCACTCACTGTAAGCAATATGCTTCCTATCGTAAAATGAGAATTTATGAAGTTTTGATGGAAATGTAATGCTGTTTGACGTCTAGTCTATGATTTCTTGACTGCATTGCGAAATTTGGGGGGTATATTGACTGAAAGGGACTCATATTACCAAATGGTTGAAGTTTGAAAATGAACACAAAATGACACCAGCAGACAGCAATAATTGATCAATTGCCATTAGACAACATGGATTGTATCCAACAGTCCTCATTTCTTTCACTAACATCAAGTGTAGTTGCAGTCATGCCACTTGACATGCTGACAAAACAAACCAGTCTGTCCCATCATCATAATCATATTGGCCAGTCGAAAGCCCTGACCTCCAAGTCTGTAGTGTGTCTGTGATAGTTCTTTCCACATGATGGGTAACATAGATGAAAGTTCATTTGCCCGTCTTCAAGAAGATTTCATCTTCCTGAGGCAAGGGAGTTTGCTGACTAAAAGTCCAGTTTCCACCCTGGCCGTATTAGGCTGGTATTATGCAGTTATATTTTGGCTGGACTAACGAGTCTATGCATAGTCCAACCAAAATCACGAAACGAAATTGACATCCAGTTTGTAAACTGCTGTGCAGATTTCGGTCAATTGCAGGATTTGCAAAGTATGTGTACCAGTTCAGCAAGGGTGGAAACTGGACTTTTTCAGTCAGTTAACTAAATTGCCACAGGATGATGGAAGAGTTAGGAACAAACAAATATTTCTTATCATCCCAGTATGCAAGCTATATCAAGGCAGCCTAGGAATAATCATGCCAGGACCAGACGAACTTGTGACTGAAAAAAGCAGCAAGGATCCATGTCATCAGTACTGAAGAGTAATTCTTACTTGTAATCCCCTCTGGGTCTTGCAGCAGATGCAGGTTTGATCATCTGGTTGTTTTCATTGCAGGAAACACTTGGACTCGGCTATAGATGACCATGAGAAGGACATGGTGCGAGTGGGTCAGGCATTGCGGGCGTACGAGGCAGTGGGGATGGGGTTTGATGGCTTGGTTGAGGAGTACACAAGACTGAGGGGGGAGCTTGAGAACAAACAGTGGGCACTGGCTGAACTACAGCAGACAACTACACAGACCACAGGCTGATCGGCTGCTGGTGCTGTTGTATATATGTCCATTAAACTTGTGATATGTGCTTCGTTGTTAGTGGTTCTTGTAAGAAGCTGTTGAGGCTTATTACTTTGTGTAGAATGTTGGTCATGATTTAAACCTCTGATTTGTCTGGCCCAGATGCATTTTTTACAGGCAACTGTGAAATGACTAAAATATTCCTTACTTCAGCTTAAAAACAACATTCACTCACTCATGAAAACTGGCAAATACCATTGATACAAACAATATTCCAAATTTTTACCGAGGACTTTGTTTGGATCCTTCACACTTAGGCTCCACAAGCTACTTCCACATGCCAATTTGCATATCACGTGAATTATAAACAAACATGCTGATTCTAAAATCGGGGCAGTCTGGCCTAGTGGAAGCCTTTCATTGTGTGTGTTACAGATTGTTTACATAATTACTAAGATTTGCTACAACAACTGCGACGGTGAGGAGTATGACATTGCATCATTACACATCAAAATGACCTTATCCGTAGACTATTTTCATGTGGATAGGAGGGGCGGTTGGGTAGCATGGTGGTTAAAGCGTTCACATGTCACGCCGAAGACCCGGGTTCGATTCCCGACATGGGTACAATGTGTGAAGCCCATTTCTGGTGTCCCCCGCCGTGATATTGCTGGAATATTGCTAAAAGCGGCGTAAAACCATACTCATTCACTCACTCATGTGGAATGGACAATAAACAAATATAATTTGTTGAATGGACAGAGTAAGATGTGACAAATCATCACACCTTTGTGGCCGGTGGCAGAGGTTACTAGGCTGACCCCAAGGAACTCTGGGTAGGAGAGTGTGGATCCTTATGAACGTGTGGATACTGAAACCGCTACAGAGTATGATTTTTACAAGACATGTTTTCATGTATTTTGCTCTGGAATTACAGAAATTTTACAAACTTTTTAAATCAGAGACACAAACACTGCTGTTATAGTATTTATGTTAACAATCATCTCAGTGCAGAGTCCGGCATGCCAGAAAGCAATGAACATGTGTTCAAATCCCAGATTCATACTCATAATGGTTTTTGGTCTGTCAGCATCATTCACATCCATTCTCAAGTGTTTCACCAATGTGGTTAACGTCCCTCATCTGCATCAACCCGTGAAGATCCGGGGTAGAATAGGTCTTCAGCAACCCATGCTTGCCGTAAAAGGCGACTATGCTTGTCGTAAGAGGCGACTACCGGGATCCAGTGGTCAGACTCACTGACTTGGTTGAAGCATGTCATTGATCCCAATTGTGTGGATCAATGCTCATGATGTCAATCACTGGATTGTCTGGTCAAGAATCGATTATTTGCAGGCCGCCATCATATAGCTAGAATATTGCTGAGTGCAGCGTAAAACAACAAACCAACCAACCTTATCTGCATCACACAGCCTTTCCACCTACATCAAGCTGACGCTCCCTGAAATACTGCACAAGTTGGTTTAAAACTAAACTCACTCGCTATCTGATATGGCAGATCATGTATCAATGAGTTCTTATTTTTATCTGAATTTTTTTTCTAATGTTTATTGTCAGGCAACTGAGGATAGAAAACCTGAAAGTGCTTCTAGGTCATGCAGTATCCCTGCCTGCCTGATATAGTTTGAATATTGTTGACTGGCATAAAACAGTTGCTCACTCACGTCACATTGATAAGATTGTCTGACAAACTAACAGGCCACTGGTTTTGTCATAAGCAATTATATTTCTAGTCACTTTAAGTATATTCCATAGGTTACATTCCATGTGTAAATATATTGGCAAATGTTAGATTTAACATTGACAACGTAAGTAAACAGGTAACAGGATTTACATTTGAAAGAAAAACTAAGATTAATGATTCTTGTGTTTCAAATTCTGGAGCAATAGGTATGGAATGACGTGAAGAACATGGAATCAGGTTTCAAATTAACTTTGCAAAGTGCTAGCGAAGGACTACTGACACCTCTTGTTGTATGCAATCATTAATTGATGCTCAGATGTGCCTGAGATTGTGTCCAAATTACAAAACAAAAGTGTGGGTTAAGTAACAAGTCCTGAGACACTGAAGTGTTAGCTACAAACAGGAGACAATTCCAAGACGTATACCACATTGAAACGAGTAACAACTGATGACATACAATATGAGCTGATTAAAATAACATGTACACGTTGCTTAAACACAGGGATGAGAATTTTCTCTGCATTTTGTTACGGCAAAGGTCACTTTTGTGATACATGCCATAACAATATACAAATAAATCATCTAGTCCCCCAGTCTCCTTGCTAACTTTCAGTGTGTCTATTTTAAAACAAACATTCACATCTTGGGTAAATATGCCAAATGTTTTGCACAACAAACATGACAAAAGACTTCAGTTTACATTAACATGTGTGAACTAGTCCTTGAATTACATATGATATAAGGTTAATATGTACGGCAGTCAATGCATTTTGAAAGTCAATTTTTCAAGTTGGTAAGATCCTTTGAATAGATTCTTCAAACAGGGCTGTATCTACTATTGTACTTTTTTTCAGGATTTACAACCTAACACTGATGTCAGAAAGCACAGAGATCTACTCATCTTCAGTCACTAGGACATAAAGCTTGTGTTTTATAATTCTGTGCTTTTGGTCCCTTGAGCATCTCTACCTGGCAATATCAGATGTCCAGTGACATGTCCATCCTCTGAAGTCTCAAGAGTAATGACTGCATCACTCTGGTCAGTCATCTCACCAGCTGCTGTCCTGACTGAGAACAGGTCTCGTGGAAGTCCACTCACTGGGATGGTGAGCCTTCTTGTGACACTCTCTTTGAATAGTTGTCGCTTAGGTCCTGTAGATGGTGGTGTTAATGTCGTCAGCTCCCAGAAAGCTGTCCCTGGTCTTGGAGAACTAGCTTTTGAATCTTCAGAGCGGCCTGGGGTGTCATTATCTCTTGTTGGAGCTGAAGTAGTATCCTCAGAAGGCTCTATTATTAATTTCTGTTCAGGAACTGAAGACGTTTCTGTTGTCACTCCTGAAGTAGCCGTATTGATAACATATCTTGTAGAATATGTATTGCTGTTAGGGTCGTCCACTTCTATATTGTCTTCACACGGTGCATCTATGTCTTTCAATGTAGAGGATAGTTTGAAAAGGGCCAAGTCTGCAAGTCCATCGTTATCTAAAGACACGTTGGACTCTGTCTGTTCACTGGTTGAGGTTGTATATTCAGGAATGCTTTGTAGATGCAAGTTTGGCTTTGGGACATACTGAGAATATGTAGTTGAGTCTGTGGTATTAGAAACACTAGCAGGGGCGAAGTCCTGACGCACAGGCCTAAGAAGTGGATGAGAAGCCATCTCGCCACATCCTGAATTATCTGTATCTTGGACCGTTGGTTTCACAATGTTGTACAATGTATATTGAGGACGGAGTGGAGGTGGTCTTTGGAAGTGGGACATATTCTTCACAGGTCGAGGTGCTAATGGGACTCTGGGAGTTTTATTCATGTACAGAACTGGGTGCCTTTGAGTATTTCCCGGAAATATATTACCTCTCAGAGGCTTTGGCACATTAGGTGTCATTGATAAGCCATGAAGATGGATTTGGACTGGGCGAGGCTGTATAGGAAATGTCCTAGCAGTGCAGCTGCCTGCTTGTGTTTTCTGATCTTTGCCTGGGTACAAGACATTGATGTTGCCGCTCCTCTGATGTGTCCTACCTTGCATCAGTCCATGAATTGGCACATCTGATGTGCTTAGTCTGTAATTAGGCACCAAAGTTAAACCATCACATCTTTGATGAAGTCCTCTTCCTGTTGCAATATCTGGTTTCACATCATTAAGCGCTGGATCCAACTTGATCAGATCCTGAGGAACAGTGTTCTGAGTATGTCCTTGTGATGCATATGGCACATCTGCATTATTCAAATTGGGTCTGTTTATGGTAGCAGGTGCTATATGTTGGATAGATGGTTTGTTGTTGGCTGCATGTCCATTAGGGACAGGGGCCAACATCACAACATTCCTGCTAGGTGGCTGTCTGAACATTGGTTGCTTGGTCATAGGGAGTTGCTGTGAAAACAAATATGATGTATACTTGCAGCTGTGTGACGTCAAAGATTTAATAAGATATAATAAATGTCTCATCGATGTGTGTGTGTGTGGGGGGGGAGGAACAGAGGAGACACGTCTCAGGCGCTACGATTCGCTGTGCAGAGTTGCGTCCCTGGGCATACCAGAAACCTCTTTTTGTGGGTTTGAATCATGGTTTGCCCCGATTATGTTTTTAGGTTTGTCAGCACCATACCCATCACTTTGGGCTTTCCTCTCATATTAAGCTGACATGCCCTGATATAACTGGAAAACTGTTCAAAAGCGGCATTAAACCAAAATCACTCACTCACTCATCCATGTGGCTTTTTGTGCTAGGCCACACACACACACCTTATATAAATATATATACCTGTAATAATTCATTAACCCACCATTAAAAGGTGTGGAGTATGTTAGTCTAATGGCTTCAGCATTGGCTCTACACACCAAGGACATGTTTCAATTCCCCAAATAGGTAATGCAAATGTTTTTGAATCTTTGGTGCATTTTGCAAATTCATATCTACTGGGTTAATTTGTCTTATTGACAAATGGGAAACAATTAGTTTATTTTTTGTGTACAAGTTACCTTTACACTACTCTGATCACACACAAGAACGATATATTTTCTGTTTTAGCCAGGAGATGGCTTAAAGGGAAAGAAAAATTGACTGAGAGTAAATGACTAACAATTTCCACTGTAAAATGGATAGGGACCATGCATGTATAAATGTCTTCTTTTTTTTCTTTTTAAAAAATATGTTTCATATGAGGTTTAACATTTTCTTATCTTGTTCAGGGAACATTCTCTCTTCATCTGAGTTATGTACCTACCACGCTGACCAGGGTCTTTCCAGTGCATGCTGGGAAAGCGGCAGGCGATGCAGCTTGGTCAGGAATACTGATAAGAACAGGAACAAGTTTACACAGATGACAAGGTTTTCTTATAAAATCCCTAAATCACCACAACACTGCATGTTGTTTTTAAAATGCAAGGCCAAAAATGGATTAAGAGTTTTTTTGCGACTATATTTCACTCAGAGTGTGCAATCATTTTTATTTTTCTGCTGGAACGAATAACCTGGAAACGTCGAAACAACAAACATGTGCATGATTGTTGATGTTACGGATGGCAGATTTGACGCCCTCTCTATTCATTTACTGGTTGATCTGCCAAGAGAAATTGTCTTGTGATCAGGATGTGTATGTGCTTTACGTACAATCCATGAAACATGCGCAAATTCAGATACAATCCCGTGTTAGGATGAAATACTATGTCGTTTGTATGGCATTCTTTTCAGCGGCAGTACTGTATACTGTTATATCCCGATAATGTACGTTCTGAGTTCTTTGTCTATTACATGTATATACATCTACAGTGAAACCTATTTCGTCCAGAAACCTCACTTTAACTGACGAATGCTGTCGGAAACGTCAATGCACATAGTATAAATATATAAAATGTAAGGAACAGTATTACGGTTAATTTGTTATCCAGGCGATTTCACTTGGAACGGTACTGTCCGAATGATCATGGTTTCACGTACATAAACAATACGAAGAATTGCCATACAATATTTTTTACAGGATTTTTAAATATGCTTTAAGCATATTACATCGTCTGTCGTTAGTGTAATAGTGCCATGCTATAATACTTTTCATACCTGTCAATAGGTACCATGTTTCCGGATGTCCTATCTTGCTGATTAGTTACGTCTTGAAATGCCGACAATGCTTCTGTAATCAATAAACAGAGCACAATGGTGAACTCTGTCACTGTATTAAAATATCAATGTACAAATATTAAGTTAAAATATGAAGAAATATAAAACCATTTAATTCGCTGTAGAATTTAACATGCACTAAACTTCATAGGCAATCTTCTTTTAATTTTTACGGGGTTTTTCAGTTTCGTTTATTTAAATAAATAAAACCAAACAGATTTTACCTTCTTTGATAGCCTGCGGATCGATTGTGCACCCAAAACCATCCTCAATGACTTCCTCCTGTAAGTATGAAGTTTGTTGTTTAACGCCGCTCTCAACAATATACCAACTTTCTGACGGTCTGTAAATAATCGAGTATGTACCAGACAATCCAGTGATTGACATCATGAGCATCGATCCACGCAATTGGGATACGATGACATGCATCAACCAAGTCAACGAGCCAGACAACCCGATCCCGTTAGTCGCTTCTTACGACAAGCATCGGTTGCTGGAACCAATATTCTTACGCGGAATGAATACACGTATAAACTAAATAATACACGATATTGAAAGCAACCCCTTTTTGGGGTAAATTTTTTTTATAAAAAGAAAGTTGTACAACACAAAGGAGTACATACAGATCACATTATACATATCAATATGTCTCCATTGTTGGAACCAGAAAAGTGACATACATTCGTAATATTGAGTGGTTGGCAAGGGCTGGTCTGTCTCCCAAACCCGAGAGAAAAAAATGGACTTGATCTTGTTTACTCATTTAACATTAATTACGAAACACTAACCTTTATTCTGTGGTCCGAGATATTGACAAGAACAGGCCGAGTGGATTCTCCTGACGAGTTCTTCCTCTTTCTTCTATTGTGTGTATTGTTGTTTCGGTGTATACGCTGGAGAAGTTCTGGGTGCCCCTTCAGGAACAAGGCGTGCTTGTACTCCACCAGTGAAGTATTTAACTTCTGCCCGTGTTCATTGATGATAGAAGGTCTTACAATCTTCCTAAACCCATAAAGATTCAGTTGTCGGATAAAGCTGCTAAATGTAGCAGTTTTGAACGGTTTGTTCTCTCCAAAAAGATACTCTTCCTCGAATTTCTCCCTGAGAATTCGAATAGAATTTCCACCAAATCCCCAGCAAACAGCACCCGTTTTACACGAATTTGCAATACGCCAAAATTTTACTGGAAATTTCTTTATAATTGAAGAGTTTGTTACTTTCTCTGGCGATTTAGATAACGCGAGGTGTGAGGGAGCCAAAAACATCGTGACCATCCACTAGAACGATAGGAACCTCACCCAAGGAAGAAGAACTTCTCGGAAGCCTGTTTGCGTTCTAACTGACATCATGACGTCATCTAAGGACACACATGACGTCAGAACTGACGTTTGACGCCATAATCGATTGTTACGCCTTGCAAATGTGGCAACAAAGTAACCGCCAATATTTTGTTCCATTTGTCATGTTTGTTTTGTGTTTGACTACATTCCTATTCCTTCTGAGAAATAGATTGACGATCCACAATTGAAATGTTTTAAAATAGGGGTTAAAGTCCAGCTATATTTTAATCCTCTAATGACAGTATAATAATATCGCATGTTTTGTCATTACCACATTCGACGTAATAAGCGCCTAAAAATTAGAAATAGGGGGCTCTGATTAGAATATTATTTTTGTGAAAAAAAGTTAAAAGATAGATTTCATGGTTTATGGTGACAGCCTGAAATGTTTATGTACGACAGATATATTTTCCCAGAATTTAATTGCCCATAATTAAGGGTGCATATAACACACAGGTGTGTATTATACGCGAATAAATAAGTCTTGTGTACATTGATCAATCGGAAGGGGTGCTAATTAGGATTGTTCACTAACCAATATATTAGCAAATATCGCTGTGGGCGCTTATCACGTCGAATACGGTATACAGTTCATTACAGTTGGTAAGGTAAAATGTAATTAAAAACAATTAAAAATTGTTTTTCGGTTTCTGTACTCAAAGTGACTGTCGTCTGTGCTAACTTCGCTGGTTCTTATCCCATACTGTTCATATAATCAGTCGCCGTAATCAAGCAGGCTGCCATGGCATATCTGAAATGATTCACTCACTTACTCTGCGCGTCCTCAAAACTGCAACATATATTTCAATAAAAAAATTCAAGAAATAAAATCATTCCCCACTAGAACCTAACGTGCTTACATCCGCAATGAAATGAAATGAACATATTGTTTGAACCCGGGTTTTAGGGTACGAAATGAATTTCACGTCTAACACTGAACGACATACATTATATTTGATACAAATCGTCGTAGATAGACGTCGAAGATAGCATTGCAAGGGAGGTAACCACTGTTGGAAGCTAAGCGAGTTACAAACACGCACGTGCCAACGCCTGGGGATCATCAATATGTGCACGGACTATTGTGAATCTTTGAAATTATGCGTTGGACACACATGGTATGCAAATAATAGCAATCTTTCTTGTTATGCGTTCACTAGTCATAATAAATCGTGATTTCTTAGGCATTCTGTCAATTCGAGTGTTTATGTCAATACCCTCACATATGAGGGCTTTCCCAATACACTGGCAATTCAAATCACAATACGCTCATAAATGACACAGTAGGTCTTTCATTTACATCGTCGATTTTATATAGGTTAATTGTTTCAAAACATTTATATAATTTATATATACCAATGTACGCGAATACATGGCAATCAATTTGCGTAACACAAGTGTGATATTTGATGTCAACCAGACACCGTAAACATTAATATATATCTGTATATATTTTCAAGCCATATTGTTATTAGATAAACTCATATCGTATTGTTTATCTACAATGAAACGTGTTATGTGTGTATATATCGACACAGTGAAACTTGGGGCCGTTCATCTGGACGCTGCCTTTCCTGGATTGTTGAAATCGATCGGACAAGCTTCCAGCTAATTGAATCATTTTTACGATGTAATGTTCTTTGTATACATGTAGACGTTCCTTAGATGCTTGTTTCTCATTACTTTTTTTTTTTTTTAAATACTGGGAGGGATGGTGTTTTTTCAGTTTGTCTGGGTAGGGAGGGAGGTTTTTATTTTTTTTTCAGTGTATATCTTTAGTAGGTTACAAACCAATAAAAGTTTAACTTGGTTCAACTAGACTGACAGGGTCATCCTTCAAAATGTCATAGGGCAAGATGTTTGCTGTAGATTGATTTAATTACCTTTTGTCTTCACTGAAAAGTATGATCCATTTAGTTTGAAATATAAATATAAATATATGTTATTATGTATGTAATTGGGTGACCCTCCCCATATATTGTCCTGCTCACACTTCATGACAAACCTGTGTGTTTGAAGTATTGTCTAGCTTCCACTTCATGACTAACCTGTGTGTTTGAAGTATTGTCCTGCTCCCACTTCATGACAAACCTGTGTGTTTGAAGTATTGTCCTGCTCCCACTTCATGACAAACTTGTGTGTTTAAAGTATTGTCTAGCTTCCACTTCATGACAAACCTGTTTGTTTGAAGTATTGTCTTGCTCCCACTTCATGACAAACCTGTGTGTTTAAAGTATTGTCCTGCTTCCACTTCATGACAAACCTGTTAGTTTGAAGTATTGTCCTGCTTCCACTTCATGACAAACTTGTGTGTTTGAAGTATTGTCTAGCTCCCACTTCATGACAAACCTGTTTATTTGAAGCTTATTATAAATATTTTAAAGGGGCAAGGTCAGTAGTTTGCAGATAATTATATTTCTTGTTAGCTATATGTATATTGTGCATATCTTGTTAAATGAATAATATTACACACCCAAATCTGATGATATTTACAGTTTCTATTAACATCAACATATGTTTAATGTCATCATTGATGTGCTGGATGTTGAGTTTATATTTTCATATTTGTATTTTTCAAAAGAAAGGGTTTTTCGATAGTGTGAATATAACATAAAATTTTGTTATTTATATCCTGTGCTTCTCCAAACCAAGAGGGGTGGTCGGGTAGCCTAGTGGTTAAAGTGTTCGCTCGGCCCGCCGAAGACCCGGGTTCGAATCCTGACATGGGTACAATGTGTGAAGCCCATTTCTGGTGTCCTCCGCTGTGATATTGCTGGAATATTGCTAAAAGCAGCGTAAAACCAGGCTCACTCACTCACTCAAACCAAGAGTTTAGCTCTACAACACAGTTGTTCTTAAAGTGTAGTAAAGAGTCTGAATTCATCTAATTAAAAGCAGATGTTTTAATTACTTGGATACGATATCTCTGTACATGAAGCTCTGAGGACGCCTCCATAGAAGGTCGCATAAGGTGAACACTGAGCAAACATTGACCTCCCAATCAAAATGAAGGGTGCATGGGTTCTGGAGACGATTTGGCTTTATTTCTTGATCATTTCTAGTTGGAATTTGTGATTTGGACACAAACACATACCACAGAGCACAAATGTACCTATTTGGGTGCAGACGTCATAGAGCTCAGAAATGACAGAATGTATAAAAAAAACCACAACAGTCTGATAGTGTGCCTCTATGTTTTTGTATTCAGAACTTCCCGATTATATTTATTTTTGAGATTCAGAAATCAGGTATACCTGTCTGAATGCTCTGCTAGCTTACACATACTGAGAATTTAAAAGCCTCGATGCCGATTGGCTGATTATCATCTTTCCGAGGCAAGAGCGTCCACTCGCCTTATTATCAAAGTCTCGTTTCCACCACTGCCACATCAAGCCCACTTTCCTGTGCTAAATATGTATATATCGATAGTCCAATCAGAGAACGTTTCACAAAATCAACATCCACGACTGGTACTTATTCTTATGAAAGTGATTTACCGCTGCCTGTCTTTGTTAACACATATATGTCTTTTTTATCTTCCAAACCCCACAAAGATCGCCTATGTTTTTGTGTCAGGCATGAAATCGCAAATGTTTTTGTTATCTGATCGACTAGGTCGTCGCCTATGGTAGACGCCATCTTTTTGAAGCCATATGAGATAAGAACAGCGATATGATTAGATATCAGTTTATCATTACAAGGGGCGCAACTTGTAATCTACACGAGGTGGCGCCAGGGTTGAGCCACACTTTGCAATATTACAGCTATATGATGGCGATCTGTAAATAATTGAGTCTGGACCATGCAATCCAGTGATTGATATGATGAGCATTGATCTACTCAATTGGGATATGATTATATGCATCAACCATGCAGCGAGCCTGACCACCCAATCCTGTTTGTCGCTTTTACAGCAAGCATGGGTTGCTGAAGACCTATTCTAACCCGGATCTTCGAGGGTCCAATGAATGTGTTGTCAGATCTTCATGCATGGGCAGTGGGGTAGCCCCGTGGTTAAAGCCTTCACTTGTGAGGCTGAACGTCAGTGTTCAATTCCCTACATGGGTAGAATGTGTGAAGCCCACTTTTGATGTCCCCTTCTTGCATATTGCTAAAAATATTTCTAAAAAAATGATGTAAAACCATACTCAATAACTCATGCAAAAGAAATTGTATCAGAGTAAAAGATCTGATTTTCATTTTCTTCTAATTCTTACAGGGGAATCTCAATACACCAGAAGATCGTGTATACTGCACTCTCCCTCGGTAGTACAATTTCTGATAAATTGCTTAAAAAGTTTTAAAATATCTCATTCACGCAAAATATCACTGAATTAGATTGTATTGCTTCTCTGATAATTTGAATATCTTGAAGCATGTTTGAAAGTTATTAATATTTAAAGAATAACACTAAAAGAACATTAGGAGAATCTGAAGTGAAAGATGTTTTGATGACAAGACACTATATTCATGTGAGGTATTGACTAGCAAGCGTTCATGGAATATTGGCATAATCATATCCATTGAAATACATATTGGTGACATTGAATATGATCACTTTCAAAATCCGTCATTTTTTGTAAGTGCTGCATGAGAGTGATTGCCAAGTAATTGCAAACTTGTTCTATTTCTCGAAAACTTGTTTACTACTTTCAAAGTGTAAGAGACATAAAAATCAAAGTATGTGAAAGAACCTTTAATTCTTTTATTCTTTTGAATGGATCCTTGTGAAACTTTAATTCAACCATGATGTGCCCTTTCTCAGACCTGGAGTACTTTTAATGGTAATTTGCTGATACTACAAAATAGCCATTATTGGGGAATTGATCTTTTTTGTCTAAATTTGAAAAAGTGGATCTCAGTGGGTTCAGCACAGTGTCTGAAATTCATGTAATCTTGCTGTCTTTTTATCGTATTGGCACCTCTGAGTTCCTTCTTTAGTTTCTTACGAGTAAACATTACATCAGCTGACGTAAAGTAAACCTCT